ACTCCAGAAGATCTGGATTTCTTTAGTGTAATATTTGTGTTTAATGTTATACAGACTCGAAGACTTGCAGGTGAAAAGCAACAAGTTTTTCGAAGAGTCAGCTAAGACATGATTCCCGGTGAACATACAGAAGACGAAGCTGTTGAAGATAACCAACCAACCAAACAACAGTGACAACAAACAGTGCCGATCACTGTCAACGATAGAGAGACTTGACAGAGGTTCCTTCTTTCACTTATCTTCTTTTTGGTTTACAGCTTGTTTCCATACTGTATTTTTGGTACAAGTGTGGAATTTTCAGCATGGATATCGGTAGGCCAAATTTCGCAGGCCGACCATAGATATCAGGTGTGCGTCGGTAGGGGATCGAACCTCCGACCATGTGCATGGTATGCGAGAGGAAGCGTCTGGTTAGGAAGCATCGTTTCAACCAAAGGCACAGGATACGGATGAATATGTCAACGTCTTACACAACAGTATTGTCTCATAAGACGCTTCCTCATATAAAGCTGGCCAGAATCGGAGTGGCAAGACACACCTTCATCACTCTGAAATCAGTGAATCAGATTGAAGAACGTGATTCGCATTTTCAACAGTCAGTCAGGGCTTCTATTGAGTGAACGTTTTGGAGCTCATGTCACAATTACCATTTCCAAAAGCCTACGTGTGAATTTTTGAAGAAAACCTGACTTATTTGCTGGTTCCTGGTAGAAATAGTTAAAAACAAGAAAATACGCAGCGTAGCAAACCAACCTGTCGTTGAAGAAATATGTGGGAGAGAGTGGAGATGGATTGAGTACACACTGAGGAGACCATCGATTGACATCGAGTGCCAGGCTATTATACTCGAATGGAAGCTCAAGGGGAAAGGAAAATTAAAGCAAAGATCTCAAGGTGATATGGATGAGATTGCGCTTGAAGGAAAATATGGCAAATTATGGATGATCTTAGGCGTGGCTGAAGAGGGAACAAGAAAATAAAACAAAACGGAGACGTGTTGTTGTTGTTGAAGCCAGTGTTCCACTCGTCGATAGTCTCAACGACTGGCACATTCGTGAAAAGAGAAACTGAAGAAGTCACTTCATCCGGAACCGCCAAATGAAATTTTCCCAGTGGATATATCTAATTATGTTCATAATTTATCTGATGTTTCCCTATCAAAAAACAAGCATAAATTCTGTCATTGGGATTCAAATTCTGTGTTCCCATGAAAAAGATAAAGCAAACTGATATCGAATGCCAATTCGAAAATCTTTATGACTTCATATTTAAAGAAGCTGAAGACATACCCATTCCAACATCGGAATTGAGGAAATTGCTACTTTTATGTACTAAAAATGTCCAATTCCAATTCAACGGGCGTCTGTTCCGTCAAGTTGATGGTGTCGCAATGGGAAGCCCTTTGGGACCACTTTTCGCTGACTTATCCCTGTCACGCCTAGAAACCGGTGCTTTGCAGCGACGTATACAAGAAACGGATGTATACCTAAGATACGTTGATGACAGCTTTATTGTCTGTGAAAGCAGATCAAAAGCGGAAGACATATTGATAAAATTCAATTCATGCCATCCAAATCTCAGTTTCACAGTAAAACATGAGGTAAACGGTACTTGTAAATTCCAAGACATTTTTCTAGCCAAAATGAATGATGACACAATCGAAAGATCTGTATTTAGAAAGTCTTCATGGACAGGATAGTACATGCATTTCAAGAGCTTTGTTCCAATCCAGTACAAAAAGAACTTAGTCAGATTTCTGTTCAATAGAGCACGAAAAATTTGTTCTGACAGTACTATTGAACATGAAATAAAATCTTTGAAGGATATTTTATCTAAGAATGGATATCCTGAGAAGTTCATTAATAAATACTTTAAAGAAACTACCCCCTGCAAAACAATTCAAACAGTTCCAAAGAAACCTGTCTATATCAATTTGCCGTTCAAAGGAGATGATGTACGGGAAGTAGTCAAACAAAGACTCGACAAAGCCATCAAGAGAACTTATTATGCTGCAAAACATGTTATCCTTAACACCACCAAGCGAGTGCTTCAACAATCTGGGAAAGACCAGTCTCCAGTCCTCGACACTTCAAACTGCATATATCAATTTGATTGGGTGTTTGTGGCAGCAAATACATAGGTCTTACGGAAAGGCGATTGTCTACTCGCATGATGGAGCATTCGCCAAAATGGTTGAAAACAGCTGAGTGCAAATTCCCAAAATCCTCAATAACAAAACATTTTGTGGATTACGGACATGATATCGACGCAGTCAAGTCATTCACCATTGTCAGCAAACAAAGAAACAAGAAGATGCTTGCAATCGCAGAGGAGGCTTGTGCATTTCGAATTTATAAACCAGCTCTCTGTATACAAAAGGAGATGGTCGTCACCCTGAATCTACCATGGTAATACGTTTTACTTATTATTTTAGCTATTATTATTGATTCATTTAAAACTATCTTCTATCAGTAACATTATCTTAACTCACTTCAACACTATTATTATTATTGTTATTATAACTATTACTATTGATATTAGTCTGTTTGCAATTCCCCTTATATTCTCTAATGACTAGTTGTATATCTAAGTGATATAATTGAGGTGTAATGCAGTTTATGTTAATTTTGATCTCTCATACTCTCTCTCCCCTTATCTATTTGAACATGACCTGGAAAACATTCCCACCTGTCGTCTTTCTGCATGATTAATTCAATGTAGTTTGTTTACTTATCAGTCTTATATCTCCCAGTGTAATTTCAAAAGTATATATATCCGTGTATGTAGAGTATTCAGCAGCTGACGAGTTCTACCGGAATTTGATGAACCCATCATTAAATCCTGCTTTATTAACCTTTGTTGCTTGTTTTAAATTCACATCGGGAAATAAATGTTTCCAATAACCTGCCGTTGAAGAAATATGTGGGAGAGAATGAAGATGGATTGAGTACACACCGAGGAGACCATCGATTGACATCGAGTGCCAGGCTATTATACTCGAGTGGAAGCTCAAGGAGAAAGAAAAATTAAAGCAAAGATCTCAAGGTGATATGGATGAGATTGCGCTTGAAGGAAAATATGGCAAATCATGGATGATCTTAGGCGTGGGCGAAGAGGGAACAAGAAAATAAAATAAAATGGAGACGTGTTGTTGTTGTTGAAGCCCAGTGTTCCTTTCGGAACCCAAAAAGCTGTAATAATAATATCGTATTTTCTTCCGCTTATTTCACGTTTAGCAGGAATAGTTCAGTAGAAACATATCTCACCACAATACTAGGTGACACGTATTTGAATCTTCATAAAGACATCATTTTTTATGAAGTTTCTGATGATTTCCAATAGATAAGAAAACCAAGTGCAGCATTCCCCAGAGAGAGAGAGAGGTAGAGAGCGTCAACCCCTCCCTCACACCTATAGTACAATCTATATGAAACAAGACAAAAAAAAGACGTAATTCATCGAAAATAGTCTTTTTTAACTTCCAGGACTAAAACAAACTTGCTTTTCTTTTTCTTTCTTTAATTGCAAAGGGGTAAGCATTAATAAAATTGAAATTAACTTGCAAAATATAAGCAACAACTGATTAGCAATTATAATAGTATGCATATATATATATATATATATATATATATATATATATATAGGTGATTGCACACAGATGGGAAGGAAGACTCATCTGTTTGACTTCGATGCTTTAGGGAAATGAACTTCACTAGGGGGTGAATATGAGCAATGATACGCGCTTTTTTATATATGTATATATATGTGGGGGGTAGGCACTTTTTATGTCTCTGAACTAATACACATGTATATGTATGTGTATATAACAACTAAAAAACAGAAAAAAAGAAAATTGAGAATGAGAATGATAGTTCAAACGAAAATGAGAGAAGGAAGTAATTTCGAAATTTGATGAAAATACCATTGAATTATCTCAATTTTGTTTATTTGTTTGAATCAATCAAACTGCGTATATTGTATTCGCGTTTGTCAAGGAGGAGGAATTATGAATCACGGGAGATATTTTTGTCACAATAAGTAAAAGAAAAGTAAGATTGCAAGTAAGTAACTGTAGTGCATTTTCCCTCCATATTCACTCCTTAACAATTTTGACAGCACAAAAAAAAGAATAGGGATGTGTGAATATGTGTTCGCGCGCGGCGGTGAGGGTAGGGGCAACTTGAAGGAATAAAACATTGGGGGTAGTAAATCAAAAGAATAATGTGTTAAGCAATTGTGAAGCTTGTTTTATGGCTGTTTTTTTTTATTGTGTAATGTCATGATGTGAATAAAATAAATAAAAGGCATACTAATAAATCAATTTTTACGAAAAACTTCTCCGTTTCTTTTTCTTCTTTTCCCAGTCTACGATGACGCAGACATCCAAGCCCAGATGCCATATATATATATATATATATATATATATATATATAATGTTATTTTGAATCGCGCGGAAGGTATTACTTTTTCGATAGCTTAGATTAAATAAACAAAATGGGTTAGTTCACATGCAATATTTTTCAATTTGTTCAATGGTATTGTGTGTGTGTTTGAATGATTAACGTGCATTCTAGGTATTGGTTAGATGGTAGGATTTTTGTATTTTCTTCAATGTTTATGTATGATTCACTAGGCTTTTTGACTGTCTAATTTTTTTGAAAATATATTTTGTTAGTAAAAGAGAAGATTTAAAATCGCTACTAGTAAAATGAAGCCAAGCAATATGGGGAATAAAACGTTTTCTTTTTTGTTTAAATTTCTCTGAAAAGTTTATTCAAATGAAACAATTGAGCTAAGCAGAAATATTCTAAATGATTTTGTAATGAATAACTTAACAGACAAATAGGTAGATAGATAGATAGATGAATGGATAGATTCATACGATACCTGTTAGGCTTATGAAATTTAGGGGTTTTATAATGCCTTTCCTTATAAGTTCAATTTATAATTGGATAGTGAACTCTGCACTGACAGCATCAGAGTTGGCCATTTCACTTGGTGATGGATAAGATGTATTCATCATCTAAAAGAAAGAGAAAATAATGAATGAATTAGTACTATTAGTTGGATATTACATATATTTATGGATAATCCCCATCCAAGGAATTAATGAAAACAAAACATGTAGTTCAGCGAACAGTCTTAAAGGCTGTTGTTGAGCTGTGCATATATCAATCAGTTCATCTGCTGCTGTGGAGCCAGGTACATCGATCGTTCGACGTGCACCCTGTTCAAGGGGATTCAAGAACACTATCTAGCATGGTTGCGAAAGGGCGGTAGTGACGCATTAAGGAGTGCGACAATTGAACACCTGGTTAACACTGATCATTCCATTTCAACAAACGCCTCCTTCTTCAAAGTAATCTACAGAGTCGTCTTCTTTGTATCGCTGAAGCTCTTAACATTCACATAGGAAAACTGGAGCTGTGTATACAAAAGACAGTTACTCAACCACTTCTACTCTCATGGTAACAACTTTGTTGATTTTTGATGACTTAATTTGTTTGCTCGCCTAATTCTTTAAGTGCTTATAATCCTTGTGTTCATTTAGAACTCTTACGTAATTTCATATTCTCTACTTTGTTCCTATGTGTATCCTGAGTAAAACTCAATCATCAAACTACTCATATTATTACACAACTTCTTTTTTAACAACTGTTTGTGACAACTCATCACCTTTGTTTCTATCCTAATTTCATTAACACCTAATTTTCTTGATCGATTTTGTATTACGTAACTCCAACAACCAATCTTCACCTGTTTATTTAAAACATAACCATAACCAATTGTAGTTTTGTTTGACAAAATTTACGTACGCATACATACAAAATAACACATGTATATTTGCTATTGTACAGCTAAGAAAATGAATTCGGTGAAAAGAGACTCTTCGCTGAACTACGTGTTTTGTTTTCATTATATATATAAATATAAAAAAAAACCGAGCTATACGCTTTTCTGGGGGATTTAACTACTTGTCAAAAGTTTGAAAAAGATACTCAGGATAGCGAAAAATATAAGGGTAGGTGATGTTTTCAGTCAAGAGTAGTCAAATCAATTTTAAATTAAGCATACATTTAGAAGAAGTATACAAAAATCAAAACGTAATAAACATTTTAGCGACTATTCCTCTATTTCACAAAATTTTCATTCTTGACGACTATCCTATGGTAGCCATGGAAGTACAAACTTCAATTCTCTATGATGTAGGTAAATTAAGATTCAAGTGAGAGATGTTGCCGCAGTCATCCAACTGCCTCATATGACATCTTCACTGTTTGTTATAGAATTAGGGCTACAAAGTAATGTGGAATTTAAAGTCATCGGTCTGCAAAGAAACTCTTAATAATCACAACAAATACAAAATAATTGAGCACCGAAGAATATCCTTTTCGATAATTTCCTCTTCTGGCTCTACAATGATATGTGCATGTTTATACACACAGAATATTCTAGAATAGTAGTCTACAACAGTATTAGTGCTTTTTAAAGTAATATCGATTTGTAAAGTAAGATCTCGATGGAATTACACTTCATTAAAGATGCTTTAACTGTAATAAGCATACAAATATAACAGCAAATAGAATATCAACTAAAATTAAGGAAATTTCCACAACATATTGAGAATCGTTCGAACCTAGATGGCCAGCGGGTTAAGAACCAGCTTTTTGATGTGAATCCAAACAGCCTCAGCAATATTTAGTAGTGGAACCTCTTAAGGCGAAGTTAAGATCTGTTGGTACGCGGTAAATGACTCTGAAAGCCTGGTTAACATTACTCTTGTGTTCAGTATCCACAAGATGAGATTGAATAGTTCTACAAATAGATTTTGTTTGTCTTTTTTTTTTAACCAAGCAAGGTGATGTTCGCAACAACAACAAAATAGGTTTTCATAATGAGATGAACACGTTTGCCTTTCAGTAAATAAAGATGAAGTGAAAGAACTTTCTTCATTGAACGAAATGCGGAGGTGTGACAGACTTTGACATATCTCATTATGAATTTTCACTTGCAGAACAACAGATTATTTTAATGTTGATAAATCTAGTGTTGGTTAGTAGGGATTCGACTTGATTGGTTATAGCATTTCATCAGTAAGGGGAGAATCGAAGAATCCCAGGTAGTACTAGACAACTATTTCGCCATCGATATAAGTATAAAACTTGAGCATTGTGGTCGAGTATAACTCCATTATGGATAAGATTTTATTTTGATAAATCACATGGTGTTGTACAGTAATATTAACTGATGGCCACGTTTCGAGAACAAATTATTGCTCATAATCATATCAAGTCACTCATACAAATGTTTTTCTTCATTTATATACATGTGTAGAATCGAATAGATATTGGATTAAAAATCAGTATGAGATAATGTACATTCGTATTATTATTATTTCTGAGCAATAGTTTGTGCTCGAAACGTCATCAGTTAATATTACTGTACAACACTGTGTGATTTATCAAAATAAAATCTTATCCATAATGGAGCTATTTCGCCACCCTAATTTGTGACTCTCCAGTAGCAGGCAACAATCACCAGGGTGCGAACCCAGGGTATTCCTGTTATAAGATGGGCTCGTTAACCATTCATCAGTCACTGGAACCTGGATCCAATCACCTATGAGTTTCAACTGTCGTTGATTCACGATGTGTTGAAAAGTCAGAAGTCGTGACCGGTGGAGCATAGCTGGTTGGAAAAATGCTTTCCAGTCTCAACATATCGTGAATTGGCAGGAGTTGGAATTCATAGACCACTGAATAACGTCTCACTGGCTCTTTTAGTCTGCCAGCTCACCTTTTAACCAGGAGGTCCTAGGTTCGAACTTCGATGTGTTCGTATTGCCGAAGAGCCACTCCCAAAGCAGGATGACGAAGCAGCTGTCGAGTGCACCTAGGCGGTTTTCAATGATTCTCTAAACGATATTAGCTCATGATGATACTCTGTAACCAATCAAAATCAAATCCTTGCAATCTAACAACTGAATAAAAAAATTTATTAATTTTTTGTAATGTATGTTGCGTGGCTATTTCTCCCATCTTTCATCTTTACATGAACGTCTTAAATACCTGTATTTCATGTTGAACCATTCGTTAAAAGTGAGTTTATGAAATATTTTGTTCATAGTAGTTCATCCTAAAATTTTATCGACAAGTGACATCAGATTGTAAAAGCTACTAAAAGCATTTGTTTTCATGTATCTAAAATTTCTTAAGTTAAAATGCGTATGACTAAACAAAGAGTAGTGATAGATATATTGGCTTTCCCACTAGGTCATTAAATGTATACTGTAATACCATCATATTATTGGATTCTTGGAGATGACATTTTAAACTGTTATTTTTCAGTTTCTTTTAGAGAGTAAGAGTTCACTAAACTTGTAAACAAAGAAGAGGATGAATACTGGAATGCGTTCCTGTGGTTCTTCGATGAATCGTTAAGTGAAAGAAATTTTGGTTACTTTCTAAACTTTTCTCGTCATTTACTGGTCTTTAGGTGGATAAAATTATGATTATTATTGCATTATAATTGTCTGCTTAGGTTCCTAGAAGGACATAAGGCTTCAGCTATATAAATAAATAAATGTGTCATCGACGAAATCCATATCCTCCAGGTTTTCTGTGTGGGACAATTTTTTCGCATGCCTGCTCATTCCCCGCTATCTGTCACATTATCCAGTCTACCGCAATGAGGAAAATCATTGGCGATTGTAGGCAGCCAGCCAGCTTGTCTTATTTCCGTCTTCTCTTCGAAAGATTTTACGAGTTTCCCGTTGCGAATCACTTGGCATGCAGCATTGCTGTACAAGTGTTGGATGAGATGTATAATTGTCGATGGAACCCCACAGTAGTAGCGACGTAGTTTTCAAATCACCTCACGATCGACGCTGTCGAAGGTTTTTTCAGAGTCGATGAAGTTGAGATAGAGGCATGACTGCCATTCCAAACTCTTCAATGAGGATTGGGAGTGTGGCGATTTGATCAACACATGACTTGTTTCTCATGAATCCAACCTGTTCTAGTCGATGTTTTTCATCCAGGGCTTGATGGATTCTCTCCAGGTATTTTGCTTTGGATGGACAGGAGCATAATTCCACGCCAGTTCTTGCATTGACTTAAGTCTCCTTTCTTTGGTAGTTTGAATAAGTACTTTGCCCTATTTCCACACCTTCTGCAGTTATAGCGTCATCAAGTCCGCTGCTGCCTCTGGCTTCATTTTCAATGCTTCTGCTGGGATTTCACCTGGTTCTGATGCTTTTCCAGCTTTTAGCATCTCTATTGCTCGTAGACCATTAATCCATGAGCTCGCCTTGTAACCAGAAGGTCCTGGATTCGAACCACGGTGGGTGCATATTGTAGTTGAAAGGGATGTTTCTTTGCTTGGAAAGGAACATTTTTTTGTTCTACCGCTTGAAAACGTTCGAAGACATTATAACGAAAGCGAAAATTGAAGTGACATTCATTCGCAATCAATAATAATTATAATAATAATAATAATGGTAATCGGGGGAATAAATACTCTGATTATGAAATAATGTGATCGAAATCTACAGGTATAATTTTGTAAAGGGAAAACATGCATATACAAGAAAGAATAACTGTCGAGATGACTAGTTGTTGTTGTTGTTGTCTTTTTTAAATTATGTAATTCAATGAAATAAAAAACACGTTAAAAAGACAATAGAGTGCATTATTCAGGAATCACTTCACACAGGAATATATTATTATCTATACACATGCAACGAATTACCAACAGTGTCCCAAACAGTTAGATAAGACAGAAAACTAGAAATCACTCACACACACACGCACACACATATATATATATATACAGACAAATGCATTATATAATAAATCTAGACAAAGTATTGAGTAATTATATATATAACTATATGTGTAAAACGTGAGCATTGCGCTGGTAGTAAGAAATTCTATAATAGTTTGTTTATTAGATGCATCACACACAGTGGAACAGTATTGTTGATTACTGGATGGCAAGGTTTCGAACAAAGTTTATTGTTCATAAGAGAAGCCTTGAGACTTAATAATTATTATTATTACTATTGTTCCCTTGGGTTCCTAGTGGAACATAGGGCTTCAACTGCACGTCCCCACTTGCTTCTGTCTTTTGCTATACTTTTCACTTGCATCCACGTTATTCCATACTGCTTCAACTCCTCTCACACGACCTCCTCCATGTCACCCTTGCACTGACGTCTCACTCGCCGCTTCCCTTTCGGGTTCCACTCGAGGGCTTGACGCGCGATGTCCCCCAGTGGTCTCCTCAGCGAGTGTTCAATCCATCTCCACTTTCTCCTGCATATTTGTTGGTTGGTGATTGGTTCTTGTTTTATTTGTTCCCATAGTTTCTTCTTGTTGGTGATTCTTTCCGGCCCGGCCATCTGATCTTCAGTGTTGAGCGAAGACTGTTGTTGATAAAGGTCTGCAATAGTTTGTTGGAAATATTCCTTGTGACCCATCCACCAAGTTTCTGATCCGTATAGAAGAGCTGGCTGACTTGACGTTTGTATTGAAAGTCCAAATTTTGTTATTGATGCTGAGTGACGAGGATTTCCAGATTGGTTGTTTCAGGTTGATGAATGTGTTTCTCGCCTTCCCAATTCTTGCTCGATTTGACATTCTCGTCCGTTTCGACTTCCTGTAGTTGAGACAATGCTCCATAGATAAGTGAGTGAATGAAGTAACCTCTTTCAAATCCCTCCCGTCGATGGTGATTGACGTTGGATGTTTCTGTTGTTGTTGTTGTTGGTTGGTTGGTTATTTTCATAACCTCCGTCTTATCTATGTTCACCTGGAGTCCTGTCTTTGCTGCTTCTTCGACCAGTTTGTCGGTTTTCGCTTGTAAGTCTTCGATTTTGTGTGACATCAAACATAAATCATCCACGCGCGGAATCCAGGTCTTCTAGGTTCTTCACGTCAGTCCAGGATATTCCTATCTTCTGGTTTCCCACTGTCTGACGCATAATCCATTCAGTCCACCACAATTAGGAATATCATTGATGATAGATAACAAGCGCCCTTGTCTGACTCCTGTGTTTACTCCAAACGCCTCACTGAGTTTTCCGTTGTGGATCACTTGACATGTGCCGTTGTCGCACAGCTCTTGAATCAGGTTGATGAATATTTGGGGTACGCCGTAGTACTCGAGTTGTTTCCAAATCACTTCGCGGTCAAAGCTGTCGAAGGCCTTCACGAAGTCTATCAAGTTTAGGTTGAGGCTTGATTGCCATTCCATGCTTTGTTCTGTGATGATGATGCGTAGAGTTGCAATTTGGTCAGAACATGATTTGCCTGACTTTCCTGAATTCAGCTTGTTCTGGTCGGAGTTCTGTATCCAATGCGTCCTTAATTCTCTCCAGGATGATGCGACTCAAGATTTTACTTGGCCTCGATAGGAGCATGATTCCTCGCCAGTTCTTGCAGGGTTCTAAGTCGCCCTCCTTTGGTGGTTACACGAGGTAACCTTTCCTCCAGTCAGTAGGCACCTTTCCATCCTTGCATACCTTAATAATTACCCTAATACATTGGTCAGGAAATATGTAGGGAAATGTAAAAATAAATAAATAATGATAGTAATCATAATAATAGTAGTATTGATGATATGCAAGTCAAATGTACGCAAGACAACAACACCAACAATAAGGAGTTTGAAACAACAGTAGTAATTCCATACAAGGACGGAACGTTGGAAACCTTACAGAGAACTCTTAACAAGGCTGGTATTCAACCCAACCACAAACTCAATTGAAAACAAGCTTTGTCAGTGAAAAGATTAATCCTGTGGAGACATTAAAGCTAAACAATTTAGTTTATCTAATACCCTGACGAAATGATTGTTAGTGAGGTCAAAAACATTGGTCAAATTAGCAGAACAGGGACAATCAGTCAGATCAGCTGAACATAAAAACCTACCAAAATCTAGATTAGTTGACCTGAATAAGATAAGAAATCTGGAGAATAGTTCGGCAGCTATACTACTCACTACATGCAGTTACACACAGCCATGCAATAGGATGGATGGGATAGGATGATAATTTTACAATCTAATGTCACAGTTAGGTGGAGGGAGAGATTGATAATAGAAGCTTTGTTCATCGAATCAACTGCAAAAGTACGTACTAGGAATTACTCAACACCTATCCAGCTAGATATCTGGAAAATTCTACTACCACGCCTACGATGACAAATAAGTGACAACAAATAAAACTATAAAACGAAAGTTTCGAAGTCGTGTGATTATAGTTGATGAAATGATTATGAACAATAAATTTTGTTCGAAACCTTGTCATCTAGTGAATAATACTGTTTCACAGACTGTGTGATACACCAAATAAACACACTAATAAGAAATAAATTATATGTCACTATATAAAGAGATGAAAGGATAATAGTAAAGTGAAAAAACTATGGTCTCATCTAAATATATATAAATATAAATATATATACACAGCACTGCACACCACTGCACTCCACACACACACACACACACTAAATTATGGTACGTGTCTGTCACTTACTCTTGTGGTATGACCTGTGAATCAGATGACTTGAATAGCAATAATAGAAAAAATTTGCGTTAATAAAATCATTAGAGCATTTACAAAAGTGCGTAAAATGGCTTTCTGTTCATTTTTTTTAAATCTTTTTTTTATTATAGCTTGACTTCAAACAGTAATTTTGATACAGTATGCAATTTTCAGCATGTGATATCGGTAGGCCAAATTTTGTAGGCCGACCATAGATATCAGGTGTGCGTCGTCGGCAAGGAGTCGAACCCTAGACTGTGTGCATGGTCGGCGAGAGTCCTAACCGCTGTGCCACCGACTCACTAGAAAGGATTTTATAAAAAGTAATGCTATAGAATGAGTTAAAAAGTTGTGTATGGCGGGAGGGTTCATTAAGGGGGGCGGACAGGAATTCTATGCAATCAATTTCTTGATGTTGATTGTCCATGTGAAGTTCATAATAATGCCTAATAATTGTAAGCAAATTTGCAATACATTTTTATTGTTAAAAGTGTCTAGTATGTGAGGTAATATCTATCATTGTTTGAAAGAAGAGATTCCTCTTATTTCGACTTTTACAACTATGAAACTTTGCCGAACTTGTTAACAAACTTTCGTAGTATATCAGATTTCTTAATTATTGTTATTACTACTCCCTTCGGTTCCGAGTAGAACATAGGGCTTCAACAACACATCTCCACTTTCTTCTATCTGGTACTGCCTTCTTCAACTGGGCCTAAGATTGACCAGAATCTCTCATCTCCAAAATATCACCTTCGAGCCCGAGCCAAACTTATCATTCCCAAATGGAGTCCACTCAAGTGATGACTTACATTGATGCGCGACGTTATTCAACGGCCTCCTCAGAGGCGTATAACCAATCCATCTCCAATTTTTCCTAAATATCTGTTGAGCAGTAGGTTTGTCAATAATTCCTTCTGGCTGGCCATTTCATCATCAGTAAGGAGCGAAAAAAAGCTTGTTCGAAATGTTTTGCATGACGCGGAGTACACGTACGTTTCTGACCCATGTAGAGGAGTGACTGATTTCACTTTTTGTGTTGATAATCCACTTTTTTTTGTTAATGTTGAGGCGGGGTGCAGAAAATTTACAAACTGATTTCAGAGTGATGAAGATGTGGTTTGTCTTTCAGATTCTCGTCAACTTTGACATCTGAATTCGTGCTGTGTGCCACCTGGATGAAGTCACCTCATTAAAATTCATCCCGCTGTTGGTAATTGGTGAAGTCTGTCAGTCTTGGAGTTCGTTTGATATTAAACATAAGCCGTAGGCGAAATCTAAATCTTATAGAGTCTTCCTATCAGCAAGTTCAGCATATTGCTTTCTAACTTCTTACTTCCCACGTGCGATCTGTCGCACGATCCAGTCCACCACAATTAGGAATATCATCGGTAATAATAGACAGTTTCTTGTTTCATTAATCTAACCAGTATCTTCCCGACTAGAGACGTTCAACACTAATATCAAATCAGCTCTTTGATATTGTTTAGAAATCTAGCACTTCAAGAAGAGCATCCACAAGAGCCTACCTGACACTTTCATCAACAGCTGACTTGAATGGTTCCATACTGAAGATCAAATGACTGGCCAGAAATCTGACAACAAACCAAGCAAAAAGCTATTGCTTAGAAAACGCGTCAAAGAAAATGGAGACGGACTGGACATACTCTGCGAAGACCATCAAATGGCGTCGCACTTCAAATCATCACTTGACCAGAATCCAATCAGAAGACAACAAGTTGGATGCAGGTATAACAGTGACATTCAGGCGATCATTTGAAGTGGAATTTCTGGTGCTAGCTAAGGAGGACTGGAGAGAACAGGGAAAAGATAAACAGATACTGTTGAAGCCACATGTCTCATTTACAACCCAAGGGAATAATAATAGTGTTAGCGTCGGTTGCACAGCGGTTAGCATGCTCGCCTACCATGCACATGCTTTGGGGTTCGATCACCGGCCACCGACGCATTCCTTTGTCTCAATTATCCAGCAATAAGACTGGTAAAGAGAGAAGGTTGGGCATGAGGCTGGTCAGCAACCCCATCCTGTAAAAATAAACACTAATACAGAAACTTCGAACCTCTAGCTTGAAGTCTATGTTCCACTGGGAATGTGAAGGAAATAAATAATAAATAATAATAGACTAAATTGAATGTAAAACGTTGGACACCATTGGGCAACTGCTTCATGTATTCAGCAAATGAACATTATTAAAGCAGATTTCAGATTAGGGAGATATAGAAAGTGCCATAGAACGTCTGATAAAACTTACCGAGTTCATCACAGGTGGTGTAGCAAGAGGCGGTGGTGGAGGAACACTTGCTGCTGGAGCCACCGGGTAGCTGGTGAATGGGTAGCGACTGGTGGTGGCGGTGGTGGTGGGGTTGGCGTTGGTTGTGCAGGCGATACAGCATTCATTGGTGATGCAACACTCATTGGTGACGCCATTGCCGGTTGTTGTAGTCCAGGTGGATTGATTGATAATGGTTGTGACACTGGTACCATTGGTGAAGGCTGATTTGGACGTTGAGTCTATGGCACAAATGTGTCGTCAAAAGAACAGAGTAAAGTGATTAGAAAGTAGTTTATTACACTAATTGTTGAATATTATATCGATTCTACCACAGTATTAAAAACAAAGATATTTTGGTCAGCCTTTTCTTAAGTTCAGTCTGTGAGAACAGAATCAGTTCTATAGCATATTTCATAAGTGATTATTAGTAGTACTGTGGTGACAGTTGGCTGCTAGCCAAATTGGTAGACAGTAATTTACGTCAGTGTTTATGTCCCCAATATTGGTCATCAGAAAAGAACAATAAAAAAGGCTGACTCAACAACCAATCACAGCAAACTTTGTTTGCGTAGGCGTATATAATTAGCAATAGATGATCTAACATTCAACAAATAGCCACAAAGAGATGAAAGATTAACTTTCAATGAGAAACAACCAATCAGATGATTGTGTTTTTCTGCTAACAATAATCTCTAATAATGTATATGAAAATCTATAAATATGTGTTGATTTCCTTAATAAACTATCTATTGCCTTGCCCTTGTCTTCGGTTGGTACAGCACTACGTCAAGAATCGTTAAACTTTAAAACTGTAAGCAACACATCACTTGGTTGAAACCCATTATCTCGATCAAAATTAGCTTCACGCGTTACGACGACATGAGACAAAAACTAAGAAGAAAAAGACATTGTATGTCTATCTAACACAATCAATCTTGGAACGCATCTTGGTGATTGTAGTCTACGAATAAAGGACGATATTCTGTGGACTCTACTTAAAACTGTATCTACAAGTTCACTTACAGCTGCGGTGACACACACCTATATAGGTAGAACCAATAGAATGTTCCAATATGGCCGTCTAAAAGAACATGTTCCAAAATGGTTATTAAAACACGTAGAAAATCCAATGCAATTAATCTGAATAGAAATCTCATCATCATCATACATTGCAAAGTACTTATATAATGTCAGGTCACAAAATCAATCAATATTAATGACTGTTTCACAATTATTTCACATAACTCTAATTCAAGGTTGGTTATTGAAGGTGATGGAAGCACTTTGGGGGATTAATCACATACAGCCTAAACTGTGTGTACAAAAATCAATAGACGTCAATCCTCGCCTACCATGGATTACATGACCTATCTAAATATGATTGGTCATCAGTATGTACTTTTGTTTTTATATAACTGAGTAATTGTCATGATCTTTATTTTATTATTGTTAACCATGCTAGTTGTAAAGCAATTTAAAGGAAATTACGATATGACAACATCATCTCGCGAAATTTGTCTTCTAAATACCCTATTCAAATAAACATTTCTAATGAACTATGGGGTTTAAGGTTTAAATAGCACATCTGGGACAGTTCTATTTCAGAGTATGGTATTTTTATGGGTCCGAGTTGATTTAACTGTTAAATTTCGTCATAGGTTCTATTCTTAGTGGGATCGTGGCTGTGCACTGATGAAGCGTCCTTGAAGATGGGACGAAACAGCAGTTTAGTGTTTTCTGGTTTTTCTTAGCCTATCTAAATAACCCTGATTCATGAAGAAATTGAAATTTTGTTTCTTGTTGTATTTTGATTACATTTCTTGCCACAGATTAAATATTCCATTTTTGGCGATCTTTGTGTTATCACTAAGCAGTAAACCAGTTACATCTGTCTTTTTCGGTACCAAATATTGATTGCTAACGTTACCTGTCATATGTTTATAGACTACATAAAGGTCTTTAGAAGTCGTCGAATGGTTTTCAAAACGGTTAACGCTTTACTTAATCCTTCATACACAAGACCTTGAGTAGCCTTGGAAGAAGAATAAGAAGCATTTGACTCACAGAGAACCACACAGTCAAATTTTATAACTTGTGACTTCAAGAGAGCTGTACTACTGTCATTTACTGGTTGCTTAAATCACATTAATTTCTTCATGAATTCTATGACTCGACTTTACAGCGTGGACTGAGAAACAGTAAGTTTATGACGTAGACACTAACCAGGTTTGTTACTCCACACAACATTTACATTTAATTAGTATACAATTAGTGGATGGTGGCTAGCAGTGGAATCCAGGATGCGCATTTCGTCCTATTTGGGACTCGTCATCTGGATGTACCTGCATTCTCCAGCCAGTGAGTGATGATGTTCCCACCGAGGCTCAAACTCAGTGCCCAGTTTCAAACGCCAAAGCGTTATCCACTAGATCACTTGGGCCACGAGAGCTGGCCACCTCTTGTGCAACGGGTCATATTAACTATTGAATTGAATTTTAGATTTTCCGTCGATTGCTAACCACCATCCACCAACTGTATACTAATTAATTGCCCAGAAATCGTCGAAGCATCTGCACAAGAAGCCGACAGACATGTCAACCTGAGACCAAGCACTTCGGTCCAATCAATCGACGGGAAAATCAAAAATTCAATTCAATAATTTACATTTAATATCTCTTGATTAATCTTTGCACTTGTTTAATAGTTGAGTAACACATAAGTGGATCAAAATTTTAGAAGCGGCAGCAGCTCTCACTTCATCTCTGAAGGCAGGCTTGAAGCTGTGCTATTTTCTCATATTATAAGTTGTAAACAGTGACTAGTTTGATTCACTTACTAACTTTATATTAGGTAGCGTTACAGATAGAAAGCAATGGAGAAATCAAAATCCATATAAAATAATATTTTGTAGTTCATTATTTGTGTAGTAAACATATTCTATATTTTCACTAACCGGTGCATTCATCCTGAAGGCTGAATTAGCCTGTTGAAATTGCGGCTGCTGCTGCTGCGGCTGTTGTTGCTGATATTGTTGCGGTGATTGTTGTGGTTGGTATTGTTGCTGTTGTTGCTGTGGTGAGACAGGAGCTTGAAATTGTGGTCGAGGTGTTGGTTTTTGCATCGGTGGCTAAAATTATTGCGTAAGAAAGAACAACAACTTTAATATCACATTCTGAAAACTATTGACAGTCTGAAATATTTTCAAGTTAATTAAAACACTACGAGCTCGTCTTGTAATCGGAAGGTCCTGGGTTTGAGCCTCCTGTGGTGAGTGTGCACTGATAAACAACCCTAAACAACTGGCTATCTAGTACTCCTTGCAGGTCTTCCAATGATTCTGTAACTGATGACAGCTAATCATGATGAAATTCTGTAGGTTATACACCATAATCTGTTCCTGAGAAAGGATAACAGGGCTTGTAGTGATTATCATGAACAATGTTGCAGCACATAGAACTCACTAGGATTTCATCATTACCTGTCATCATAAGCACATTTAAGTATTGAAACAAAAGCCTGGGCTATAACAGGTTTTGAACTATTAACGCTCAGTTATTCGATCTTCAGGAGTCCTAACAACAAACCTTAGTAACTAATTTCGAAATAAAACTTCAGCCTTGCAGCTAGTATGATGATGACCTCGATTGGTATCTGAATGGAAATCGAGACTCCTTGAGTAACTAATTCCTGTAGACCAGTAAATATAGTAGGTATTAAGTAAAAATAATAGACCATTCGGTTGGAATCTCAGTTCAAACCAAGTTTTTGTTTGAATTCCAGTTGTCATGCTGTTCAATCAATCCAGTGAGGTTAAAGGTATTTCAACGCAGCCAAAATAATATGTTTGACAGTCTAGACAGCAACAAAATCATGTAGTTGATATGAGATGGTTGGGGGCAATCGACTACAGGAAGCATTGAGTCACCTAGGTTTCGTGCTAGTTGGTACTCACCAGTCATCAAGGCATATCTGCACCCTTGAAGGAACCCACGTACTTTCGTGTACTGCCTCTAGCCAGAGACTCATAATTCACCTCCTATAGGACTGTAATAGATACTTTGAATAGACACTAGTTAATGACTAGCCGTTTCGTCCTAGTTAGAGATTCTTCACCAGTACACACGTATAACTCTACAAGGCGATCTCATCGATCATTTAGCCAGGACAACAGAATTCAATATTTTCTTTGTTATTATTTCATGTACAGGTTCCATAACAATTATCCACTTACCTGAAAATTGTTTTGTTGTGGTTGTGGCTGAGGTGTAGGCGGTGCAGGTTGTCTTTGATATTGTATATTATTTTGTTGAACCGTCTGTGATGGCGGTGGTGGCGTTGGCGGTGGAACACTAGAACGTCTATTTGTGCGCAGTTGAGATTGAACACGAGAGTAGAGAGTTTCAGCTTCTTCAACCTCTGCACCAGCAGCCGAACGACCACGATTTTCAAGAGCTAACAAAGAAAAAACAGACGAATGAAACACTATCAAAAGGTTTTAGGATATGAATTCACAGGGAAAACAAATTTAAAATTATTTAGCTGGAGATGTTTAAGTATGCAATAACTGTCTGTAACGGCGTATAACCTTCTCACGTAGCTTCATTTCAGCTTTCAGGAGAGAACAACAGATACAAGCTAAGTTGACACCGTATAGAATTTATCAGGAATCTCCAGTTGAAGAGGGGTTGGGGTAATGTTTCCATAATTGTATTACAGTAAATAATAATATTGGAAATATTGTAGAAGTAAGACAAGAAGCAAGTTTCATTTCCCTGATACATTTCAAGTTTTCCTAACTCTCTTCTCTAATAGTGTCCTTATTCTAGCGTGGATTCTATAACACTTGATGGAAATTATCATACGAAAAGTTGAACGAAGACGGGTTTAATGATCAGTAACTAATAATGACTAGACAGAATAACGTCTGAATACAACTTCGATATAATAGCAGGTTAAACTATGATCGTCATTATTGAGAATTTTAGACATATAGTCAATTTACACAAGTTCAAATTAAGTTCACTTTAAACAGTTTGAAAAACTTTAAGCGTCATCAACAAGTATGGAAGATCTGAAGTTACAAATGTGAAACAAATCACAGTGGGTAAAAAACCAATCTACGTTCAGCTTGATTATAAATGTGAAAACATTGCAGCGATGATCAACAGAAGGCTGAGTACATCATTAGCCATAGCCTATCCTGTAGCTAAGCTCGTTCCCGTCTATCGGACAACTTGCTCTTTGGTGCAATAAAAAATCGATAGATATCCTTCTCATGTTAACTCCAACTGTATATACCAGTTTACATGTATCTGCGTCAGCAGTTACATTGGAAGGACAGAAAGAAGGGCATATCTACGATTTTCTGAACATGTACCATAAAGCCTACGTCTCAAGGGACAAATTCTTTAAACAGTGTCATCATCAGGCATCTCCTCGACACGGGTCATGAGGTGGACGTCGTAAGATCGTTCAAAATTATCAATAGACAGAAGAGCTCAATTCTCCTCAAGTTTGCTGAAGCCATTTCCATCAAGCGTCTGAAACCTGATTTATGCGTCCAGAAAGAAGCGGTTATCAGCCTTTCTTTGCCTGCTGGTAACTGGATATTTTCATCTCTCTTTCTTCCGAGTGCGAAATGCTGAAAAGTTTCCGTTGTGTATGTTTATTATTGTTCGGAATAGTGTTTATATATATATAATTATTATTGTTACTGGTTGCATATGTTGATCGATTGATTTTTGTTTAAAATGAACTCTGTGGAAGTATGTTAAAATTGTTATTGTAGATATATTTAATAATGACTTTGGCCGTAAGCAGCTGATGAGAAGGCAACGAAATAAAAGATGGTACCATTTTATTCTGCTAAAACTGTATTTATTGCTTTTTTCAAATTCATTAAAGGGAATAAATGTATGAAATATTTGATATTATTTATTAGAATAAAAGTTTTTGTATTTCCCAATGAATGAATGGAAAACAAAACGATTTTTCTTTTTTATTCTACTGATGATTTGCTACTTAGTACTGCTAATAGCCTTATCAAATTAGTACTATTAACCCAGAATTTACAAAGTCTCAGTTTACATACGACAAGTTGATCATCGTTCATCAACATGGCGCTCAATATTTGTTATTCCGTATAAATCAGAAACGTCAGACGATATTAAAGGAGTACTCAATAAACTCGACATCAGAGTTTTCTTCAAAACAACAGACACACATACCACATAGCAACCTTGTTCAGGTAAAAGACGAATCCCTGAAAATCCTCTACTTAATTGTGTATATAAAATAAAGTGCTCGGAATTTGATGCGATTTACATCGGACAAACATCACTAGAAAATCACATCAAAATCAGTAGAAATGAACATAGCAATAAGAAGACGTAATTTATCTTAATCGTGTAATGCGCTTCCGCACAACACATTTCAAACAATCTGATCACACACACACGAACTTGTCATACGAATATATGGGAAATTAATCAAGGGATAAGAGGTGAGAAAATAAACTATTAGGTCAAGTTAAAAGGGCATATTGAAGGTGAAAATAACAATGAAGATCACTAAACCAAATAACAGAGGTAATAGTACATCTACCTACCCTGGCTGGCATCAAAACAAAGTTTACCAAGAAGGTAGGTTTAGTGTGATGACAAATTGTTGCTTTGACCACATAAAGGTGGTTTAAACTTCTAAATTGCTAGCTAGGGCTTCCACAAACATTAAGATACGCCCTGCGTCTAACACGTTCTAAAGATAGGTTTAAAAGATGTGTAAACGTCAATTTTATGCCCCGTCTCTATAACATGTCTGGCAATAGAGGAGCTAGGTCATCGTCTGTTCGCACCATTAATGGGTTCTGGGGATTCTATTTGCTTCCGGAGCCATTTAGGAATATGCTCTGAAGCCAGCCATTACTTGCAGAGATCTATGAGTCCTCGCTATGTATGTGTGGCAGCACGTACATTCACACTGGTAAATACAGTGGGATGTGACATCATTTTTCGTCATCTTACTAAACCTTCTTAGGTAAACTTTGTTTTAATACCAGCCAGAGTAGAAGCCTCCAAAGCCTCAGGATGGTCGGGGGTGGGTGCCTTGCGCTGCGGGTTGGCCACCTCTCCGCACACCTCTTGAAATGCTCCTATATGACCGGGCGTCTTACATAGCCTCTCCTGAGGAAGTCCTACTCACTGCCTTCACGTGGCGGAGGTGTTTCTCACCAAAGTGAGAGGGCGAAAGCGGATGCCCGGCGCTCTCCACCGGGTTGACTGTCCATTGGATGACGGTCTAGGGGAGATGGCTAAACCCTGATTCCAAACCTCCAACGACTGGCGTATGAAGCTCACCGGAGCTCACCGCCAGACGTATGGACAAAGGGCTTGTAAAAAAAAATGGATGTCTGGCCCCATTCAAAAAGGCGTATGAACCGGACTCCGGTCACCGGCTTCCAATGGATAGTGGACTCCTTACTCCACTCCTACTGCCTTGTAGGTCACACTTGGTTGTGTAAAGGCTAGAGCTGTACTCTCAAACAAAAGGCCGAGCGATGCTGGGGACATCACTCGTACCAAATTCCCATGAAACTTCATGAACTCTCTTACAAATCGCCGCGCCTGGGCAGCGATGATTCGAGACGTTCATGAAGCCGGCTCATTCTCCCGTAGGAGATAGCCGAAGTAAAGTAAAGTAAGTAAAGATTACTATTACCTCCGTTATTTGGCTTAGCCATCTTCATTGTTATTTTTACCTTCAATATGTCAGATTAACCTGACCACTCATTATAATTAAGGTTTTCTTGCATTTCCCAATAAATGAAAAAGACAAAACAATATTGTTGTTTTTACTGAAGTTTCGCTATTTAATGGTACCTCTAATGCCTTTATCAAAGTATTACTTAACCAGAATTTAAAAATATCGGCATATAGGTATAAAATTTGATCATAGTTCATCGGTATGGGTTCGTTTTTCGTTGTCAGATTGTCCAATTGGAAAAGACAACAAGATCAACATCAGAGGTTTCTTCAAGACATCAGATACACTGTGAAACAACCTTGTCCATATAGGAAGACCAAATCCCTAAAGATTCTCTTTCTATCTAATTGTCTCTATAAAATAAAATGTTTCGAATGTGATGTGATATACATCGGAAAAAACATCACCAGAAAGAAATCAAAATCAGAAGAAATGAACATCGTAGAGCCGTCTCTTTTCGACCACTGAGAAATCCAGTTGAGTAAGAAAAGCTTGAAAAATCATCAGCCAGAAGTGGTCTACGCGCTCCGCTATACAATCAGGTCACAAAATTGATTTTGACAATATTGAAATCATCATCCAAAACAGCATTTCAGAAATCACAAGGAAAGTCTAATATCATCAGAAGCACCTCACATGATCAAATGGAATCCGAGTTTTTTGAATAGGAATGATGGACTAAAACGGAATTTGACCTGGTTACAACATCCCCCTCACCCATGAAAAAGTGAAACAGCAGTAAAAAACAAAAATATCGTTTTGTTTTTCATTCATTCATTCATTGGGAAATAGAAAAACTTTTATGAAAATTAGCAGTCAGTTGCTGGTAGATTTAAACACTTAGCAAATAAACCTGGAACACAATAAGGAGGGTACAACACAGTAAGAAAAATATTCAACCTCTAAGCTGACTACTTCTCACCTTATGATCAAAATATTTTGAACTAAAATGCAACCAACTTAAGTGAAATATTCCTAAAGATCGTTATTCAGAAATTTATTCAATAAAGTATATTCTAATTAAAGTATCGTTTCAACTACAGGTGGAACTGACAAAGATATCAAAGCAAGGATTGGGAAATCAAGACAAGCTTTCATTAATCTCAAATCTGTGTGGAGGTCAACAGCACTCAGCATGAAAAATAAGATCCGGATTTTCAACTCATATGTGAATTCAGTGCTACTATACGGATCAGTGACTTGGCGCGTCATGAAGAGCACCTCAAACAAACTACAGAACTTCATCAACAGCTGTCTTCGCTCACTACTCAAGATCAGATGGTCGGGCAGAAGAGAACACCAAAAGGAAGGGATCTATGGCAATGAACAAACCAACCAACCAGGAACGGATTATGCGACAAATAAGCAGGAAGAAATGCAAGTGTATTGGCCACACTCTGAGGAAACCGTCAAGTGACATCACTAGACAAGCCATCACTCGAGTGGAACCTGAAAGGGAAGCGGCGAGTTGGTCATCAATGCGAGGGTGACTTGGAGGAGGTCATGTGAAGAAGAGATGAAAGCATGTGGACAGACTTGGAGCGGGGTGAAAAAGTTGGCAGAAAACCGAAGGCAATGGAGACGTTTGGCTGAAGCTCTATATTCCTCTAGGAATTAAAGGAAATAATAATAAATTAAAGTATCCAGCAAATTGATTTTCTTTTGAAAATTTCAGACTTACCACGTTCCAAACGGCGCAGATCCAGTGCTTGAGCTTTAGGTTTACGAAAAGCTGTAGACAACTCATCACTACACTTCACCTTTCGTAATTGTACGAGTTTTTTAAATGGATTTTCTGAAGGAAAAATGTAAATATATAAATATGTAAGTGTTAGACTTGCTGTCTCTACAATTATTTATCATGGTGCAAGATTAAATTTTAAAAAACGTTCTAATTTTTTCATCAGTTGGGTGACAGACTTGTGACGTACTTACCGTAAGACTTGGTAGTCGTCGGCGTGATTTCGTATGGCTGTTTGGTTGGACACACCTGAATACAATTACAAAGAAGAAGGACAAAATGCCGCCATATGAGGGGTGTCTTTCATAGTTTATTTGAGGAATATAGATCGTTTGAGTAGCTTGAAAATCCCCACTTAGTCATATAGATCGACTAGTTGGATTTCTATCGGTTCTGGCACTTAATTACTGGTTATTACTATGTCTCCGCATTACATGAATTCAGTAAAGTTAGGGATCCTGTCCACTGACTGTTTTTTTCTAAGTCATACGGGACTCATTAAAGTTTGTGCAACGCCCAGTGGTTGTCAAAAATCAAGATGAAACCAGATTTCATTTGCCTACACAGAGTTGTTTTATGCTAAACATTATTCCGCTTTCTTTTAATTAGTAGACGAAACTTATTATATAATGAGTTATTTTGCTTATCAACTAAGTTATTACTAAAATTACCCAGTGAGTCATGAAAATAGTAAAAGGCAATTCAGCGAGGAAAATTTTCTTTATCGACAAAATCATCTTCAGAGGCTGTACAGTCGTATTTATATTTACCCCCAAAATGTGACGAAAATGCCAACATCGAAATGATAACTAAGGCGTTCAAAAACTGTCATCATGCTATCCAATTCACGTAGGAATCCAAGATGAACTCAGAATTCCATATTTTAAATGTTTTGTTAAACAAAATGTGATCTGACGGTTTACTTCAAAGGTCAGTCTACAGGAAACCAACATGGAATTGTCAGTACGTGAATTTTCATAGCTGGATCCCTTTGAGAAGAAAGAGACATCTGATCCATTCCTTATCTCAAGAATAAGAAGGATAGATGGCTGCCAGTGACACAATCGACGGTGAGCTGGAGAGATTCAGACGAGTCCCCATGGAAAATGTATATCCTTCAAAACTCATCGAGAAAAATATGGAAGCAAGGTAAAAACCCAGAAGAACCCAGGCAGTATTGAGGAATTTACTATTCTTGAATGTTGATTTTAAAGGTGATACCGCAGCTGAGATTCAGGAGAACTGCCTATCCAGATCACAGAGAAAAGACTTCTTTCCAGCTGACCTATGTATCAATTTGTACAGCTGACAACTGATCAGTGGATATGTGAAGGATAAACTTCCGCTTTAGATGGGCAACTTCAATGTGTGTATTTAAATTCACCTGCTCTTGTAGAGCTATCACTATCGCTGCACAAAGCGCACACTTTCCAAACGCATCTCTGATTATTATCCGGCACTGTTAGCAAAAGGCCAACGCAAGACAGTTACTAACTCAGTCATTGAGTGAGTGGTAAACTTAAGCCATACAGCTCCACCAGAACTCCATTATGGATAAGATTTTATTTTGATAAATCCCACAGTACTGTACAGTAATATTATTGCATTATTTTATCAGTTAATATTACTGTACAACACTGTGTGATGTATCATGATAAAATCTTATCCATAATGAAGTTATGCTCTACCACAGTGCTCAAGTTTTATACTTATATCAAGCTCCATCGGAGCAGTCTTCCAAGATTATCTACAAGGTGAGACCGAAAGGTACAAATTGTGTCAGATTTCTGCATTTGCGCATGGCGGAGGCGTTGGCAGTTTGTCGGTATATACTGTATACAGAAAGCATTTGTCCAGTCTCTTACTGTACCATGGTCTTGACCTCTTCATTCGTCGTAAACTGTAATTTTTCATCTGTTTTTTTAATGATTGATTCAATAAATAACCAACTAATTTTATTTTCGCAACTCTCTCTTGTACATTTTCTCACCTTCTTCACAATTGTTAAAGGGACACTCAACTACCTTCTCACTCAATAACAATTTTAACCTTATCGATTTTCTAACGTTTTCCTCCTTCATGCTGTTGTTGAATGTTACGTAACTTGTGACTTTTATTTTTCCTTTTGAAGTCACTTCTGGGTAATTATAACAATTTATATAATCTCCACTCCTCCTACTCAATAGGTGACTAGTATACATTTTTTGGAAATGTAAACAGGACTGTACAGCCTCTGAAGACGATTTCACCGTGTAACGGAAACTCCGTTGGATGAATTATCTTTTATTTTCTTCATTAAGGAGAATACACATTATGACAGAAGTTGTACTGTCTGTCTGTCTGTCTGGATTCAACATAGAACTTGGCACCCAAGTGCACCAGTTCGAGTTGCCACCTTCCAAATAGCACACAAAAGTAGACAAGAAGATGAGTGAAGAGAATCAATACAGTCTGACAAGTATAAGAGTGAAACAGAATGGGAAATGGTAGAAAGGAATATGAAAGATTACAGAGACTGAATACATCTGCGCTGGCCAACGATTTGACAACGATTTTGAGCCATGTCACCTATTGTCTCCAGCCATTGATTCCTAGAGTCCCGAGGGCCCCAAACCCGGGAGTCTGCATCTCCCTACCTGACCGACTCTGTTTAACTGTCAAGGATTTCATGGATTGATGAGGCCATGTTTTTGTTTGGCCACCACTTACTCTTTTCCAACCTGCACCTATATCAGCTAGCAGTGCCCGTCGGGGGAGGCGATGGTTAGGCATGCGCAGCACGTGACCTAGCCATCTTAGTCTATGTAACTTTATAGCCTCGTCGATTGATTTTCCCTCTTTACCCAACACTCTACGGCTAACGTCAACATTACTTACCTTATTAAACCACCTAACGTGAGACAGAGGTCGAAGACATCTATGATCGAAAGCAGTCAACCTTTTCATGTCTTCAACTCGTATTGGCCATGTTTTAGAGTCATAAAGAAGGACGGAGAGAACTGATGAGCAGTACACACGTCCCTTGGTTGATAACCGGATGTCACGCCTACGCCAGAGATGGTGTAAGTCAGCGAAAGCAGCTCGAGCTTTTCGGATCCGTGCTGAGATTTCGTCGCCAATCAGTCCGTTGGTGCTAATACAACTTCCCAAATAGGTGAAGTGGTCAACATGTTCTATCACTTCACTCCCTATCACTAAGTTAGGAGTTGACGTGGTCCAGTCCTGTAGCAGCATCTTACATTTTGCAGGGGCGAATCGCATGCCAAACATACGAAGATTGCTGCTCAAGGTGTTCAGAAGACTCTGCATTTTGTCAGCATCCTCCCCTAACAGGACTATGTCATCTGCATATTCTAAGTCCATAAGACTATTCCCTGGTAACAAGTCGATTCCTAAGTCATTACGTTCAGTTAAGGATACTTCCATCCGCATATCTATGATGAAGTTAAACAGAAATGGGGAAAGTGGACATCCCTGTCGGACACCACTGGTTGTTACCAATTCAGATGACAGTTCTCCATAAGCCCTTACACGGCTATATGAGTTTGAATAGAGTGCCTTGATTAGTGCAATGTACTTTCTTGGCAGAAGTTGTACAATATTATGCGAGGCAGTAACTATGCATATTATATGATTTACAAACTTTAGATTATCCTAGGTGTGCAGCTTTTCCCTAATGAATCCTACAGATACTGGAATCAGTAGAGTTTTTGTTACTTACCAGTACTGACTGCAGAAAAGTGCCAATAAAAATGTCAACAGACAGAATTTCCGTACTAATTAGAGACCATCTGTCAGCCTCACAACACTACCTAACTTCGTGGTCATAACGGTGACTGTAACATCTTGCAGTACATAAATTTTCATTTGACACCGATTCGCCAATAATTAGTCAGTTATTTCAAGCACCTAACGTAGCATCAACTCAACCCGAGTTTGTCAGTGAATATGTATCATTTTAATTATTATTCCCTTGTGTTCCAAGTGGAATTTTGTGGGGCTTCAGCAGCACATCTCTACTTTTTCCCGTTTTCTGCAGTCCTCTTTGATTACCTCTAAGACCTTCTGTCGGATTTCACCTCCGCTTGCCGATACCTCCATGTCAGTGTCGCAGCTACATCCAATTTGCCGTTTCCCATGCTGCTTTCACCCGATGACCTGATGCACGATGTCATTCACTGGTCTGTCCAGAGTATTTCTCGTCCATTTCGGCAAATTGTTGAGTAATAGATTCCTGGTTGGTGTGTCATTACAATTCTTTGTTACTGATGATTTCTGGCCGGTCCTCTGATCTTTGTTATGAAGGCAGAGAAGGCAGGTCTACAGTAGGCTATTTTAAATGCTTTTCGTGACGTACCAGGTTTTTGAACTATTAAGAAGCATTAACCAACTTGAATTAACGTTGAAAATTTGAATTTAGTTCTTTATGCTAAGTGTGTTGGTGAATAACTTAACAAAAATGAGTTGACGGACCACTTTCCTAACAGTCATTACTAACTCATTTCTGAGGTCGTAAAGTGAGGACCATGACTCATTGACTTGGCCAAATCTATTGCTAGGGTACTTAATCAAAGATGTGATACTGGACTGTTTCATCATTACACCATGAACGTCTAGAAATAGTATTTCGATTGAGTAGACAATTAGAAATATGAAACACACGATAATAATATGTATTTACAGGTTCATTTTCCCATACAATAACTTTGAGCATCGTCATCGAACAAAGCATGGAATGACAGTCAAGTATCTACATCAATCTTATCGATTTCGGAAAGCCCTCCAATAACACTGACCGAGGAGTAATCTTCGAACGACTTCACCACTATAGCCTGAACTGTCCTAAATGTTTCTCAACTTCATTCAACAGCTGGCTAGATGACAGTGCCACATGTTAGGTGATCCACAACGGAAAACTCGAAGGGGGGGGTTGAAGTGAGTGAATACAGAAGTAGGACAAGCTGTCTATTATCACCAATGATATTCCTGATTGTGTTGGACTGGATTATGGGAAGACTGTGGGTAGTAATGCGTCCAACTAGTCGATAAAAATACTCTAGAAGATTCGGACTTCGCGCGTGGATGATTCATGTTTAATGCCATACAAACTTGAAGACTTGCAGATGAAAACCAAAAAAATGCAGGAGAGGCGGGCAACGACGACAGGACTCCGTGAACACACAGAAGACGGAGGTGATGAGAATAACCAACCAACAGCAACCAGTACCAATAACCATCAATGGGAAAAATTTGAATTGAGGTTACTCCCTTCACCTATCTAGGCAATACTGTTTCAATCACAGGCACATGGACCGGGTCAAAGCTGGTGTGAATCGGAAAGGCATGATACTCCTTCATCGATCTGAGATCAGCTTGAAAATGTTCTGCACTACGCCTCAGCATAAATAATAAGGTTCGGATTTTCAATACTAATATCAAGTCAGTCCTTCTACACGGTCAGAAACTTGGCCAGTGTGTCATGAAAAGCATTTCCAACAGGTTGCATCCCTCACTGACTCCACAGTGAAGATCAAAAATGGCTGGCTAGCCAGTTTGACTGGGAACAAACCAACCAAGAGTTGGGCGCTTCATTAAAATATGTGGAGAAAATGGAGACAGGCCAGGCATACGTTGAGGAGGCCGTCGAATAATATCGCACACTGTGGAAGCAATCACTCGAGTGGGATCCGAATAGGCAACGATCAGTTGGGCGTGGATCCCAGGGGTGACACAGAGGGGGATCGTGTGGCGTGGAGGAGGAGGAGATGAGAGATTATGGTCAATCGTGGATCCAGCTGGAGGGGGCAGAACCAAATAGACGAAAGTTGGAATGTGTTGTTGAATTGCTGTTTTCCAATCGAAAGCCAAGCGAATAACGATAATGATAATTCCCTATACAGCCTGAAATGCAGCTTCACTCCCTTGCTTCTCTTGCTTCAAATAACATTTATAATAGTAATAAAGATATAATAGCGAGTAGGATATCAACTAAAATTAGGAAATTTTCACGAAAATTGAGAATCATTCGAACCTAGATGGCCAAGGTAGGGACAGCGTCTGAACTAACTTCTTTTGGACGCACAAATTAGGCTTTTTAATGTGGATCCCAACAGCCTCAGCAATATTTAGTAATCTGGTGGATACAGAACATAGGATTGATGTTAATCAAGCTTTCAGAGTTATTTATCGGATACCAACAAATCTCAACTTCGCCTTAAGAGTTCGATTGCTAAATATTGCTGAGGCTGTTGGGATCCACATTAAAAAGCCTAATTTGTGCGTCCAAAAGAAGTTAGTTCAGACGCTGTCCCTACCTTGGCCATCTAGGTTGGAATGATTCTCAATTTTCGTGAAAATTTCCTAATTAACATTTAGCTATTACGGCTTTCCCATCAAATCTACCGTAAAGTTTTCATGGTTTTTCTTTTTTGAATTTATTATAAATTAGGTCAACTGAAGGATAAGAATAAACTTATAATATAAACGATTTAATGTTGGCATTTTGTACGAGTCAAAAATGACATTAAAAAAGTGTACTTTTTATTACTTATAGCACAAGTACAAAAATCATATAAACCTCATTGTTGCCTACATGTGTGTGTGTATGTGGATGTGTTGTTGTTTTTCTTTACCACAAAGTATGTGTACCCTTTTAGGAGGTTACTTTTATTACATGTACTTTTAACTGAAAATTAGTTATGATCAAACGTTTTCTGCTTTTATGACATCAAAATCAGTAAGATCTGTTCAGTAAGTATCATCTGTTACAAGATTTTATCATCAGATGACATTGGTTAGGGTGGTTAGGTAGGTAGTTGCTTGGATTCTAGTGTGATTTCATGACTAGTGGGGTACGCAGGTCGAATGTGAGGACCGATACTCACCAGCGATGACACTGGCTAGTGCCAGGCACACTTTATCGTGAATTGTTGGTGGAGGTCGGAATTCATAGGCTGGTCACTGGATCAGGTCCCAGTGGTTGATGAGTGGTCTATGAGCTCGTCTGGTAACGGGAAGGCCCTGTCTTCTTCGAACCCTGTCTATGGGTGCGTACTACTGGGAGTGTTAAATTACAGTGAAAGAACACCTGTCCAGTACTCCAGTGCCGATTTTCTAGCAGTTCACTAGCGGATGTCAGCTCATGTTTAAATCTTGTAACCAATCAAATCGAATCCAACCTTTTATTTCAAATAACCGCTTACTCCTGTATGTTTAATTTTTACTTTCAGTATTAAGACAGATATGTCCTGTGATAATTTAAGTTATCGATTCATGTGTTTCCCTTTGTTGTCGCTGATCTCAGAACTCATTTTTGGAACAGTGGAGTGCTATCAACAATGTTTAACGCCAATTTCTATTGGCTTCATTAACAAAAATCTTCTCACTGGCTGTAGAAAAACTTGACAATGTTTGATGTACTTATTACATTAGAAGCTCTATCAGATTATGAAATACTTTAAGACGTCTGTTTAGTGTTCTGTGTCACTCGAATGACCAGAAACTGTGCCAGTCCTTTTTGGTGGTAAAATTTTGAACAACTTTGGTTCACGTAAAGAATTAAACGACTTAGACTTCAAAAATAAGCAGTAATATGGCAGCATGATGGTTCTTTCCAAGTTTGTTATGTAATTTCTTAAATTCTATACACTTATTAATATTCAAGTACTGGCTTATAGCGATTTGAATATTAATGAGATGCTCACTAACTACTGGCCCTATTCAGGTAAGTTCTAAGAGGAAGTCGTGACCAGTAGGGTGCAGCAGGTCGTGTGTGATGACGAATACTCGTCGCCGAAGACACTGGTTAGCGTCACTCTATGTCGTAAATTCTTGTCAGAAGTTAGAATTCATGCACTGGTCCCAGTGGCTGCTGATTGGTCTTCTCGCTCACCTTGCAACCAGAAGGTCCTGGGTTCGAACTTGGCGGTGGGCGAGTACTGTTGAAGGGTTTCAAATTAGGCTTTCCAATAGTTCTCTAACCAATGTCAGATTATGGTGAAATCTTGTAACCAATTTATTCAAATGTGTTCATAATTTCATAACTCTGCACCAGAGAAATTCGTTTTCAACAAATTGACACTGACGTTTAAATCGAGCGAAAAGTGGTAACACTAGATATAACCACCTTATACGTAATTGATTGTACATCTACGTATCGATGCTAGAATGCTCGCCAAACATGCAGGTGGCCCGAAAATTGATCCCCCGCCGATGTACTTCTAAACCTTACTGAGTCGATAATAAGACCAGTGAAGATGGAAGGTTGAGCATGAGGTAGACAACACCAACCCGATTCATCAAATGTTCACTGCCACAGTAATACTTTATGCACCGTGTCATATATATATACATACATAGAGAGATCTGTGATGTAATTTAATGGAGTGATGATATAAGGTTAGGTGACAAGCCGGGGTTGTTACAATATTTCGACTGGAACTGACACTGTTAGCATAAGACAACTTCAGACCTTGTAAACCAAATTAGAGTTCTTCAGTCTGCCTTACTAACAAACACTTGCATCCTCTTCAGTAATTCGGTGAACAAAAACATTTGGCGCGTTATTCAAAAGTTCTATTGTCTCTTTTTTTATTCCTTCACGTTCCCAGTGGAACATCGGACACTTTCAAGCTAGAGGCTTGAAGTTTCTGTAGCAGTGTTTATTTTTACTGGATGTGGTTGCTAGTCTCATTCCCAACCTTTCTTCTTTACCAGCTTCATTACTGGCTTAGCGAGTTAAAGGATTGCGTCGGCTGGAGATCGAACGCCGAAACAATGTGCATGGTCGGCGAGCGTCCTAACCGTTGTGCCACCGACGCTATATTGTCTCTTACTGAGATAAAAATAGATTTCAAAAGATTTTTTACTCAACAAAATACTTACCTGGTTCTACGTGGCGTAGATCTGGTCGAAAGTCCAAATGTGGTTCTATAATTAATACTGTCTCTGCAGCTGCTTCACCCATATTATTTCTTGCCACAGCTCTAATATTCAACTGACCAGGATTACTGACACGAAGAAACTCTAAATTACTAATACCTCCATCTTGAAAGATTCTCCAGTTTCCACCTCCACCTAACTTTTGTATGAAAATAATTAAATTCAATAGGTGTATATATATATATATATATATATATATATATATATATAGAATGACTTCAAGAAATATCTAAATTGTAATACCACATATATCGACGTTAATGGCAATTGCTGCAGTGTGATGTCATCACTAGGCAACTTGACCTGTATGATGAGCAAACAGGTTTTATATTAATTTCTCTGACGAAGTGGAAGATAAACTACATTCATCTAAAAACTGAAAGTGGAACCTTTCAAAGAAAAAGAGATGTAATGGTGCCTTGTAACAATGAGGTATCCTGTTGAGTCAAAATCCAGTTGCGCCTTAGGGATGATCGGTTCTTTCTGAAAATTTACCAAAGCTTAAGAAAGCAGGACAAATTACGGAAGTAAGCCAGGAGAAGAATGAAATTTGGTGAACTGAAATCATTGTGCAGTTGGTAATCGAGGAATTAAGGTTAAAAGAGGTATGGAAACTTCACTGTGGATCAAAAATCCTCTTCCAATTTGATTATATATTACCATACATATAGAGCATTTTATGAATTGTAACTTTGCATCACATACTTTTAAATTACTTTTACTCGCATACCTTTTAAATTGTTTCATACCGTAGCCATGCAAAGGTGTACCAGAAACCCATCACACTCAAATGGAATTCTTATTATACACTTCACTAAGTGGAGACAAAAATAATGTAACTTGAAAATCATGGAGCACTGAACAGCTGTTTCATCCTAGTTTGGAAATCATTGGCAGTAGTCACCCACCAAACAATGTCATCAGTAACTCTAAATCACGGATTGGTAGAAGTTTGAATTCAAGAGCTGGTCATTACGGATTCGGGTACCAGTGGCTGAATGCTATACGAGCTTGACTTGCAACCGGAAGGTCCCTGGTTCGAACCCTCCATGGTACGGCTGACAAACCTAGACCCCCATGAGCGGTGATTTGATAAATGCACACTGATTTGGTCAGAGGAGATAGCTCATCCTTTAAATTCATTCAAATCGCTGGCTTTTTAGAGAAAGGTAGTCGAAGTTAAGCTGCGAAGAAAGTAAGCGGCTCAGGCAATTTTTCAGTGTTTCTGATGATAAGTCTCTATTGAATTGTAAATTCAAGTAGTGGCGCATTTTCGAGGCAGAATGTGTGAGCGGTTTGAGTGGTTTAAGTTTCACAGATTTCTTGATGGAACCTTTCTACTGACCATTTTCGAAGATGTAGAATGACCTCCGCCATCTTTGTCTGCAAGTATCCCACAGATTCTTCAAAGTCAATAGATTCTTTCTGAATTCATCAAGGACTACTCGGCTTCTTGTAAAAGTGATACATACATCATAAAACTAAAGCGAACTAAGAATGAATTAAGTAATTTCTGATGGGTAAATGATTCTGTGATCTTAAAGTGCACTGCTAATCGACAACCGACAAGAAATATTAATTTTTGAATGAAAGGTTATACAACTTACTGAAGCCATAAGTTCCCCGTCAATATACCAAAATATTTTTGGTTTCGGATTTCCGCCTGCTTTGACAATGAATTTAGCCGGTGATCCTTCAGTCACAGTCATTGCAACAGGTAGAATATCAAAAGATGGTGCACACGGTGGTTCTTCATCTTCTCTTTTCACTGTATCGTACCTGTGTAAATAAGAGGTAAGGGAAAAGTGTTTTCAATCAAATATTAAAAAATGTAGATATTATAGTAGCTGGCCCAAAAATTCGAACAGGCCCCCAAGGTCAAGGTTAATTTACGTAGAACTTTATTTATTGTTAATGTACTAACTGGATGCAATATTGTAGTAAAATGCTGAGAATTCCATTCTGTATCACAAGTACTGTTTTGGAATAAAGTTATTATCTTATCTTATTAAGAAATCAATAGAGTCAGTGTGAATATATATATATATATATGATCATATGGAAAGTTACTAAGGTGGGCATATTAAGTGATAACGTGTATAGATTTCAGAGCTTAGAAACTTGCCAGTAAACTTCATTCTTCTTTATCTTCTTCTACAGTTTGTCAACTCTTGTATCCTGCCTATTCTTCTTTATTCTTCACCTCCTACTTATTCTTTCTTGTATTGCTTAAAATCGATTATGTTAAACTTTGTAGACCTCTGAAGACTAGCTGTTAGTAGGGCGATTTGTATACTATCCCATTGGACCATATCACTGGCATCGTCAATGAAGATAGGAACTTGATTGTTTATGCTGAAAATTTGTTCAGGGGATTTCGTCACACTGTGAGCAGCACACGCAGCTTTCACCTTGCATCTCCTCAGATAGAACAAGAAGTCATTTCATCAAAAGACTATTTGCAAGCACGATGCCATATTTGGCACGAATTATATGTGGTGGAAATAATGCTAGATATGATTTCCTATCTAATTGTGTATATAAAATAAATGCTTGCAATATGATGCGATATACATCGGACAAATATCTTCAGAGAGAAACTAAGATCAGAAGAAATGGACACTGTAGAACCATTTCTATTCGACTACAAAGAAATCCAACTGAACTAGAAAGGCTTGAAAAATTATCAGCCATAGGTCTACATGCTACAATTTAGAACCAGGCCACAAAATCAGAAGCACTTCATATCAAATGGAACTCGAATTGTTTGAATAGGAATGATGGACTGAAACAGAGTTTGCCATTGTCGCAGCCTCCACTTCTGCCATGAAATGACAAAATCAACACAAATGTGACAGGCAATTTCATTATGTAAACACACGCTGCTTTTATAATTTTACACACTAATCATATCCAACAATCTACACCTGGTTTTGTTATCTTTACCAACTGGCCAACCTGACAAAGGAAAATTTACTCCATGCTGATAAATGATGATTAGGTTGCTATGTATAATTTCCCACAGTTGGTTTGTAAAGGTTAGTTATGTTTTTACGAGTTAATCACGGATCGATATCAGTTAGAGAACAATTGAAAACTATCACTGGAGTACTGGATAGCTGTTTCATCTTAATTTGGGAATCATCGTCAGTACGCACCCACGAAAGAGGGTTTGAACCTGGGAACTTCCGGTTACAAGTCAAGCTCGTAGACCATTCAGCAGCAACTGGGACCTGATTCAATGGCCAGCCTATGAATTCTAGCTTCTACCGATCTGTGATTTAGCACGACCACCAATAATAATAATAATAATAATAATTTGTTTGCTTTATTCCAAAAACAGTACTAATGATACAGCAAGGAATTTTCAGCATTCAGTACAATATTGCATCTAATTTACTCAAAAGTGACAAAAAAATTAAAAATACACTTTACATAATAGTAATAAAACGAATGTTATAGCAGCTACATAGCAAAGTACCGTATGCAATACGGAGAAAAATATGCATAGAGTACAAAATTGTAGTAATAATAGTAATAACAACTAAAATAAAATAATTAAGTTATAATTAAACGATAGAAAGTGTGACACCATAAAATACAGAAAGATGAACAATGAAAGGGTCGATTCAATGTGCTAATTACATAGTAACTTGTAAGTTTCACGTCTAACAGAGTCTTCGTCACATAAAGTACGGGCTAAATAGGGTATTGTAGAATTTCTGTACTTAGTGGTACGAGCATATAACTTTTTATATTGACTTCTCGTCCTACCTGATGAGATACAAGGGGACAGGTGTGAATAAAGGGGGGTGCAGAGGGTCTGAAAGTATAGTCTTTGCCTATTTATATGCCTCTCGACTATAGTATTAGCGAGCTCATGCAGTGGCAGACCACAAGCTCTACTCACAGCATTTAATACTCTTCGTAATATGATATAGTCTTTTTTGAGAAGCCCAGGAAAGATTGATGGAGAGTAATAGAGTACAATAGGTAAAATACAGGAGTTTAAAAATTGCAAAACTAAAGGTTGGTTGATACCTGATTGTCTTAACCTTTTAATGTAGAAGGTAAGACGAAACATTTTCTTAGAGATAGATAAGATATGGGATGACACCAACCAGTGTCTTCAGTGGGACATCCATCCTCACACATGACTAGATAGACCTCACTGGTCACGACTTCTCACTAGAACTCCAGGAAACTCCATCCTATAGCAAGGCACTAGAGAGCATGAGATTAATTTTCTACAGTTGTTTTGTAAGGGTTATATAAACCGAGATTTTGTAAATCCCTCTGGTTTATTGTTACTACTTTGATAAAGCTACTAGCAACAGTATTAAATAGAGAGCCGTCAGTAAAAACAATAATATCGCTTTGTCTTTTTCATTCATTCATTAGGAAATACAAAAACTTTTATAATAATATTACACTTGAAAGTCGACCAATTTATGCTTTAAATCAACGAGGCAAGTAATAGTACTACTACTACTAATAATAATAATAGTAATAATAACTTACCCTGCCATAGCATCGCTTTCCCAAGCATCTAAACTTTGAAGATAATTGATCGACTCTTTTGATAATAGTGAACTTGTAACTATGTGCTGTTCAGCATTACATCTGTTTGGATTTTGGTTTGTAGAAAGAGCAAAAAAAGGGTTATGATAGTTAACAGGTGTTTACCTTAATAGCTTCATTTTTATTGTACATGTGTATATATGCATATATAATGTCGACTGAATGAATAAAGATTGTCAGTTCTAAAAAGATAAAGTCTATTATTAGTACAGTATATCTCCATGTGTTAGCACTTATTTTCCCCATATGGAACTTTATTTACACTTAAACTTAAAGGAATATTTGATCAGGAATTCTAGCAGTCGAATAAGTATAAAAGTTGGACACTGTGGTAGAGTATAACTCCATTATGGATAAGATTTTATTTTGATAAATCACACACAGTGTTGTACAGTAATATTAACTGATGACATCTATTGTTATACCATATAAGGAGGGGACATCTGAGGCATTACGTAGGATTTTCAATAAATCAGGAATTAGGGTGGCATCCAAACCTAGAAACTCACTCAGATAGGACAAGCTCTGTAGGTTCAAGGATCCTGTCGGTGGACCCAATTAAACAAAATAATACAAATTCCGATATACCTTGCAATGACTGTGAGTGAGGTCAACTACACATAGGTCAAACTAGTAGGTTGGGAGATAGTCAGATTTCCAATTAATAGTGTTCTCTGAGCTGGTTGGTTTAGTTGCAGAGCTTTCGTCGTCTTTTTGGACGACACCTTCAGCGCAGTATTTAGGATAAAGTGAAATGATTTAAATTTCTTCATGAGTGATATAATTGCGTCTAACCAACCAGCTCAGAGAACACTAATAATTGCAAATCATCCACCTGAGTTACAAATCTTTTCTATTATTTCAAGATAGTCAGATTGTCGGAACATAAGTATGGTAAGAATGGTTGACCCCACCCGAGAAGATAATAATTTAGAAAAAAGCTCATCAGTTGCAGTGCATGCATTAACAAACAATTACACAGTAGGGCGAGAGATGGTTGAAATTCTAGAAAGTAATATAAGTAGGTGAAGATAGAGAGAGGTCAATTACTGAATCCTGCCTGGTTCATCGAATCGACAACCCCAACTAATGCAACAAAAATGACTCAATCCAAATACCACCAGTCAGTCAAATCAGAGGAGGATAATAAATAATCTCAAAATTCTATTTCAATTCACGTATATCATAACATTCTAACAAGTTATGTATTTATTTTGACCATAAAAACACTCGTCTTTTTTCCCATCTGATTGTATTTGATTGATAACACTAATATTATTATTTCTGAATGTACATTATCCTATATTGTTTTTTTTATTCAATTTTACTCATGTATATAAATGAAGGAATGAAGTTGTGTGAGTGAGTGACTTGATATGATTATGAGCAGTAATAATGTGTGCTTGAAACATGGTCATCAATTAATATTACTGGATAATACTGTGAGACTTTATCAAAATAAAAATCTTATCCATAATGGAGCTACCACTCGAATTTTTATAATTATGTGTGGTATATACTCTCAGTGTTTTGGTTTTTATGCTAGTAGGATAGTCTTAACTTCAAAAGTAAGAAGATATATCCTATGATCTAGTTTGGTGTAAGGGTACTTGTTCAGTGTGATGATGAAGTTGGTCGTCAGAACTGGAATCTGGTATAAAAGCTGCGTTTTTGAACTTCGAAAGTTCCTTGTTTGCATGACAATGCTTGAAATCCATATACACGTTTGATTTCACAGTGTGTATATAGTTTCTGAATGACACTTTTTGTATTTCTCAAATAAGGAGAAAGAAAAGCCAAATATTGAGTCACGTCATCATGGAGAGAATAAAAGATGTACTGAATGCAGAGCTCCGCCTCCCTTCTCCAGAACAAGGTGGATTCAGGAAAAGCAAATCATCTGTGGGTCAAATTGCAACCCTATGTTTCATCATCATCATCATCGTCGAATAAAGCATAGAATCGCTTTGAAACCTCTACATCAGTTCTATCAACTTTGAAAAGGTTTTTGACAGTGTTGACCCTGAAGTAATTTGCAAACTAACTCAACACTAAAGGCTTGCAGTGCCCCGTATGTATATCAAACTGATTCAATAGCTGGTTATATGACAATTCCACATGTCAGGTGATCCATATCGCAAAGCTCAGCGAGGTGTTTGGAGTGGATGCAGAAGTAAACCAAGGCTGCTTTGTATCACTCACAATGATATCCGTAAATGATAGAACATGTCGACCACTTCACCTATTTGGGAAGTTGTATTAGCACCAACGGACTGATTGGTGATGAAATCTCAGCACGGATCCGAAAAGCTAGAGCTGCTTTCGCTGACTTACACCATCTCTGGTGTAGGCGTGACATCCGGTTATCAACCAAGGGACGTGTGTACTGCTCATCAGTTCGCTCCGTCCGTCCTTCTCTATGGCTCTGAAACATGGCCAATACACGTTGAAGACATGAAAAGGTTGACTGCTTTCGATCATAGATGTCTGCGATCCCTGTCTCACGTTAAGTGGTTTAATAAGGTAAGTAATGTTGACGTTAGACGTAGAGTGTTGGGCAAAGAGGGAAAATCAATCGACGAGGCTATAAAGTTACATAGATTGAGATGGCTAGATCACGTGGTGCGCATGCCTAACCATCGCCTCCCCCGACAGGCACTGATAGCTGATATAGGTGCAGGTTGGAGAAGAGCCAGTGGTGGCCAAACAAAAACATGGCCTCATCAATCCATGAAATCCTTGACAGTTAAACTGAGTCAGGTACGGAGGGAGATGCAGACTCCCGGGTTGGGGCCCTCGGGACTCTAGGAATCAATCAATGGCTGGAGACAATAGGTGACATGGCTCAAAATCGTTGTCAATGGCGCAGATGTATTCAGTCTCTGTAATCTTTTATATTCCTTTCTACCATTACCCATTCTGTTTCACTCTTATACTTGTCAGACTGTATTGATTCTCTTCACTCATCTTCTTGTCTACTTTTGTGTGCTATTTGGAAGGTGGCAACTCGAACTGGTGCACTTGGGTGCCAAGTTCTATGTTGAATCCAGACAGACAGACAGATGGACTGGACTGAGTAAAAGACCGCACGTGGAGATTGAGAACACAGGAATACGCTGGTTCACCGATAACAAAACTGTAAAAGATCTGGATTTCGTAAATGAAATATGTCTGATGTCCCACATACTCGAGGACTTACAGGCGAAAACCAACAAAACTAGCCGATGTGACAGGCAACGAAGACAGGACTCCAAGTGTACATAGAGAAGATGGAGGTGACAAAGATAACCAACCACCACCGCCACTAACAACAACAACAACCAGCACCAATCACCTTCAACGGGAGAGATTCAACTTATCTCCTGGGCATCGTTTCAGCCACAAGTGGAAGGAAGCCATGAGGGTGTCAAAGTTAGCATTGGAAAAGCAAGACACACCTTCATCAAATTGGTAACAATTTGGAAATCTTCAAACTACAGCTTTTGAATTTTCAGTATCACTGGTATTTTTTATACCAGGCAGGGCCTAACGCCCATCGCTCTCATTGTTGCCTGTTTTACTAACGACCAAGAGAGGTAAAGGAATGCGCCGGCCAAGGAGTAAGCGTTGAACCACTTACGTAGTTGGCCAATGTTCTATCACTGAACCACTGACCCTCAGAACGTGATACTGATGAGTATAATTAAATGAAAGCATACAAACGGTCAAATTAATAGCCTAAACTGAAGTTTAAGGATTCTCAAGGTTAATTTAAGTAATATTGTGGTGAGAGCTATCTGCAAGCCAAAGTTAGTAGACAGTAATTTACGTCCGCAAATTGATCGTGAGAAAAATAAGAACAAAGACAGATTCAACAACCAACCACAGCAGACTTTGCGTAGACGTATACAATTAGCATATAGATGATCTGACATTCAAGAAACAGTCAGAAAGAGATGAAACATTAACTTTCAGTGAGAAACAACCAATCAGAAGATTGTTTTTTCCGCTAACAATAATCTATAATAGTGTACATGAAAATCTATAAATATGTGTTGATTTCCTTAATAAAGGGTCTGTTGCCTGGCGCTTGTCTTCTATTGTTACAATACTACCCTACTCACTTATTTATTAAGCCATATATCTTATTTTGATGTGGTTTTGTTCTCTGAGCTGGATGGTTAGTTTGCGAAGCTTTCATCACCTTACTGGGTGACATCTTCAGCGCATACTTCAATTGAAGTATGCGCTGAAGATGTCACCCAGTAAGGTGATGAAAGCTTCGCAAACTAACCATCCAGCTCAGAGAACAAAACCACATCAAAATCATCCACCTGAACTACAAATCTTCTCTATCATATCCATATATCTTATTCCTGTGTTAGTTCAGCAAAATAAGAACCATTTTTGGCGGGATAATGAAACTCGCTTATTCCACCAATTACACAAGATGATACTTCTTTTAAGTCGTATTTGTATTATTCAGCTTAAATGACATTTATAAATCAATCCATCTATCACACATATGAACTAAATTAAGCCTTTACGAATGGAGACTACTTCAAAGACCTGATGTAGTGTACACGTTAACAGAAGATGAGATTTGCAAAATAAAATCAATTGTAGTCGCCTACGTTTCTGTACAATGACCTGTCGAATTCACTATTTCAGATTGCTACTTATCAGATAATACAAAATAATCTCTTCTCCGTATGGCTTAATGGAATGAATGAAAGCAACCGCCAAACTATTTCAATCCAGTGGGGAGGGGGGTTAATAATAATGCGATGCCTTGACTCAGTCATGCAGAACACACTTTTCCATACAAAAATAAGTGGCATATTCAAAACCAGCAGCCTAATAATGTAAGTTTATCCGTGTAAAATAACGCAACAGTTCATTTGGAATGAAAATTCTTAATACACTAGGTAAAATGTTGTTATTGAATGGTTAGAGACAATCGGCACGACACTAATTAGTGTCTAGTCAATGTATCCAATACAGTCAGTCTTACAGGAGGTCAGTTGCCAGGCCGAAGACCTCAATTGTTGTAAAGTCTCTGACTGAATGCAGGCAAGACTGGGTGATGTGGGTTCTAATCTCTGAGGGGAAATGGGTTCCTTCAAGGTTGTAGATACGCCTTACTGATTGGTGAGTGACAACTAACACAAAACGTGAGTGAAGCAAGTCTTTCTGTGGTCAAGTTGTCTCCAACCATTGTGATGGTAACCACCTAGAATGGTGGGACTGGACACATGACTCAACTTAGTATCCAATTAAATAACGATACAGTTTTAGTGAACCATTGCTTAACACACTTACTGTAAGTCAACCACGTTGCTTTGAACTTGTCCTACAGCATTACGAGCTATACAAAAGTATGCTCCATTGTCTTCTGGATAACAATAGTGAATATCCAGCATAGCAAATCCACGATCCAAAACAGCGTTAAATCGACAACCTTTAAAAAAGAAATAATTTCATATTTTCGTAAAGTAACATAATTAAATATGTAACAGAAAATTTAATTTATTATAAATACACATTAAAATTTTCAAAAGAATGGTTACTGAACAAAGAATACTCTAAGTGTTGGTTTGTAGGGATTTGGTTGGTTACAGGGTTTCATCATGAGCCAACATTGGTTACAGAACCATTGGAAAACCTGGGAGTAATAAACAGCTTTTTCGACTCTTCATCAGGATGCACCCACCACAGGGGGTTCTAACCCAAGGCGAGCTCGCATACCACTGAGCCACTGGGACCCGATCTAATGGTCCTTGAATCCAGTGGGTGCGTACTAATGAAGAGTCCCAAACTAGGACGAAACAGCTGTCCAGTACTCCCAGGTTTTCCAGTGTTTCTCTAGCCAATGTCAGGTCATGATGAAATCATGCAAAGAATACTCTTCTGGATAACCCCTTCATCATCACGTTCTACAGTTTTACATCCATCCATAATAGTGAATGAATTAGTGTTATGAACAAAATCAATGTTGTTTGAATAACATCGAATCAATAATATTACAGTTCTGGAATTGATAGTGTTCTCTGAGCTCCTTGGTTTAATTGCGGAGCTTTCATCGTCTTTCTGGGCGACATCTTCAGCGCAGTATTTCGTCCAGAAAGACGATGAAAGCTCCGCAATTAAACCAAGGAGCTCAGAGAACACTATCAATTCCAAATCATCCACCTGAGTTACAAATCTTTTCTATTATTTCAATATTACAGTTCAATAGCATCGACATAACCAAAACACATTGAATATCAGACAAATTAGAAAACATAATAAAAGTCAATCTGAACGACGAATATTCTTTTCAACAATCTCTCCTCTTCAGGTTCTTACAATTATAAAATATAATATATTTGTTGTCGTTACAATAATGATAGCCAGTTATGCGGCGGATACATTTATTTTTACTTAGAATAACAGATTAGCAGTTATGGGGTGTCAAAATAAATAGTCGTATTTGTGAGTGGGGCAAACGTGCTTTGGGCTGAAATCGAAAATATTGGGAAACGGGAGACAGTGGTGGTGGTGATTAGTCATAATAGATTTGTAGAGTATGGGGGTAGGAAAATTGACAAGACAGTTCGAGTATACAATTGTTGGATGGTGGCTAGCAGTGGAATCCAGGATGCGCATTTCGTCCGAGGTTACAAAAGGTGTCAGGTGAGTGAGTAGCCAGTACAATGTGGTCTGTGTTAAACAGGAGATAGTCAGACTGCAATGAGAGGTTCATAGTGAGATAACGAATATGTTAAATGAAATAGATGGAGGCATATATTGAGAAAAGAGATAATATCACCAATAATAAGTCCGTATAAATGAAGATCCGATAGTATATATATATATATATTTATATATATATATATGCCTCCACCTGTTTCATTTAACATATTCGTTATCTCACAATGAACCTCTCATTGCAGTCTGACTATCTCCTTTTTAACATAGACCACTTTGTACTAGCCACTCACTCACCTGACACCTTTTAGAACCTTGAACTGACTTATTTGTCAATTTTCCTACCCCACACTCTACAATTCTATTATGACTAATCACCACCATTGTCTCCCGTGTTACAATATTCTGTAATTGATTTCAGCCAAAAGCACGTTTGCCCCACTCACAAATACGACTATTTATTTTGACACCCCATAACTGCTAATCTGTTATTCTAAATAAAAATAAATGTATCCGCCGCATAACTGGCTATCATTATTGTAACGACAACAAATATATTATATTTTATAATTGTAAGAACCTGAAGAGGAGAGATTGTTGAAAAGAATATTCGTCGTTCAGATTGACTTTCAATGGATGATATGGGAATATTTCACACTATCAAATCTTAAAACATAATAACACAAATTTATAAATTTCTAGTCTCTACCAAAGGCCGGCCAGGGGGATAGTAGTGGCTGGTTGTACTTGTTTCTTTTGCACACAAAATAGTGATTGTTTCACGCGAACTGTGATTAGCCTCTGCTGTTTGCAGCATTTAAAAAAAAGTTCATTTGATCTGTACGATATGCTGGACACCTTGAACACTAAGGAAAAGGTTATGTGCTTAATCGATATAGTATCTTTATTCATCAATGATCCTCTTCATTAAACTGTTGATTTCATTTGCGATTACATCACAAGCAATGAGATAAACTTATCTATTCCTGTCACTTACATCACAGACATCATCTTAATATGTACAGAAAACATTAGATTCACCTTCCAAGAAAAGGCATACAAACAAATCGACGGTGTTGCGATAGGGAGCCCTCCTGGGCGCCAGTTAGGAGGTATATTCATGTCAAAATTGGAGAAACAAATGTAAGGTACGCTTGGAGAATTTACTCTATATAAACGTTACATAGATGATGCATTCATTACTGGTAATAATGGTTCAGACCCATCGCCATCACTTCCCCGTTTCTAAAGCTCATGGAAAAACTAATACTTCTTAAACTCGAACCCTCCCTTAAAAGCTTCGAAGACCCCAAACAATTTGCCTACAGACAGGGTAGGAGTACTTTAGACGCTGCAGCCGTCTTACACAACAGTATTGTCTCATCATTAGACAAAGGTGCCAAATATGTCCGCTGCACGTTTCTTGACTTCACTTCTGCTTTCGACTCTGTACCTAGAAGTCTCTTGCTAAATAAGCTCTCCACGACACAAACCGAGTCTTGGGTCACTAAGTGGTTGCATTCCTACTTTTCAAACAGAATGCAGTACACCGTATACAAAGGTCAATCCTCCTCTGCTGTGCTCACTGAATCTGGTGTCCCCCAAGGTGCTGTACTCTCCCCACTTCTCTTTTCATTCTTCCTACATGACCTACCGTCTTCAAATGATATTAACTTTGTCAAATATGCTGATGACCTAACTGTATCTTTACCTGTCAAATGTCAAAATGACTGCTCTAAACTAAATGGCTTCTTATCAGAAATTAGCCAATGGTCCAAGGAAAACGGTCTAACCTTAAACCCCTCCAAATGCCAAACAGTTAATTTCACCTTTAGGCATAAATCTGACCTAAACAAACTGGTTAGCGCTCACGAGGTGTGCAACATAGATGGCACTGAAATAGAAACTAAGTCGGAAATTAAATACCTAGGCGTCACTCTATCTTCTGATCTTTCCTGGTCGTCTCATATCTTGACGATTTCCAAGAAAATATACCGTCTTACCTTCTACATCAAGAAGTTAAGACATTCTGGTGTAACCCAACCCTTACTACTACAATTTGTTAACTCCCGTATTCTGCCTATAATTCTCTATTGCTCCCCCTTAGTCTTTCCTGGGCTATTGAAGAAAGACTATACCTTATTACGTAGGATGTTAAAGGTTGTCAGCAGGGTAAGCAGTTTACCACTTAGCCAGCTTGTTAACATTCTGGTGGACAGGCACATGGACTCATGTGAAAAATGGGCGAAGTCCATTTTATCTGACTCACAACACCCTCTACACTCACAACTCTCCCCATGTATCTCTTCAGGGAAAACAAGAAGTCTATATAGGAAACTATATGCCCGCACTAGTAAGTACAAAAACTCATCCATACCCTACCTAGCCCGTGTTCTGTGTGATAAAGAATGCATCAGGCATGAAACCTTTAACTTATTAAATAGTCACTAGAACCAATGAATCTCGTCTTTCCAACTCACATCATTTATAGGTACAACGTTTTTTCTTTTTCTTTTCATTCTGTATTTATTTTTTGTTATGTGCTGTTTTGTTTCTCTCTTCCTTGCAAACTCTACTTAAAACATTCTTGTTCGTTCTTTTACACTCTGTATATCTCGACCATTTTGCTATCGCTTACGCCAGTAAATATGCTAGTAGTATCTACTTTTGTAACACCTTCAAACATTTTAATTTTGGCTTTGCTACCGACATACTAATATGTTGTTGAGATAATCTTTAATCTATGTAGAACTTTATTTATTGTTAATGTAAAAACTGGATGCAATATTGTAGTAAAATGCTGAGAATTCCATTCTGTATCACAAGTACTGATTTGGAATAAAGCTTATATAATAATAATAATAATAATAATAATAATAATGGTAGATCTATTGAAAACTTTATTACTCTATTTAATAATATTCATCCAAATATCCGAGTGACTTCCTAACTCGAATGGAATAGCAAACTATGCATCTTGGATATTATAATGGCCAGGAGAGACGATGGAACGATTCATTGATCTATTTTTCTTAAACAGACATGGGGTGGACAATGTCGTCATTTCACTAGTTTTGTGCCTATCCAGTTTGAACATTCCCTAATGAAGTGTTTGTTCTCAAGGGCTCGAAAAATATGCACGAGTGATACATTGATGGATGAGCTTCAACATATACATTCAGTTTTATTAGCTAATGGTTATCCAGCAGACTGTATCAACTTTATCAAGCCACATCTAGAAAAGACAGCTTCTGGACCACAGAAAGCTATCTTTATTAACCTACCATTCAAGGGTGACCAAATGATGCAGTTGACAGCTAAAAGACTTCGGTAAGCTATCAAATCCAAATTCTACGCCACATCCCTTTCCCTCACATGCCGAACATTTTCGATCCCTGTGCCTACTACCTACGATTAAAGGACAAAATTCTGTGCACTCTACTTCAAACTGTATCCTCAAGTTCACCTGTAGTTGTGGTGATACACACCGATATAGGGAGAACCAATAGGATGGTCCAATATGGTTATCGAAAATAACATGTTCCAGAATGGTTATTAAAACACACAGAATGTCGTAATGCAATTCATCTGAATAGAAATCCATCATCATCACCCATTTCAAAGCACTTATTAATGTCAGGTCACAAAATTAATCAATATTAATGACTGTTTCACGACTGTTTCATCACATATTCTAATTCATCGTTGGTCATTAATAAAGGTAATGCAGGCAGGGACTTTGGGGATGAATCATATACATCCTAAACTATGTGTACAAAAGTACAATAGATTTCAACCTTCACCTGCCAGGGATTACTTGACCTATTTGAATATCCTTGGTCATTAGTATGTACTTTTGTGTTTTTTTATATAACTGATTAATTGTCATGCCTTTTATTTTATGACTATTGTGAACCATGTTAGTTGTAAAAAGCGGTTGTAAAGAAACTACTAAATGACGATGTCATCTGGTGAAATTTGTTTTCTAAACGCCTTATTCAAATTTATCAAAGAGATAAATTGTTTTAATTCTTTTAGGATTTCAATTTAAAATAGAGAATAAACTATTTACGCTGAAAAAGATACATCAATTCATTAGGTAATCTAGACCTCTTTTCTGATAGATGGAATACAGTACAACTAACTGGTCATGTACAGTAACCTGGCTACATAAGTTTAAGTTAAACAACTTTGATGCAATTGTCATTGAAATGCTGGAGTAAGATCCAAAAGGTTTTGAAACAGTTGTTGCTTTTTATGTCGATTTGAAAAAATTCGCATCCTGGATTCCACTACTAGTCACTAACCATGCATCAATGCAATTCAAGTTGCACCACCAGACATCGTCGAGGTATCAGAAGAAGAAGAAGAAGCTGACATGCCAACAGAGACTGTGTACTTCGGTCCAGTTAATCAACAGTAATATCTGAGGGTACGCGTAGTACAAGAGGTAGCTCTTGTGGCCCAAAAATATCCAGTAGATAAAGCGTTTCGTGTTTGAAACTATGTCTGAAAGGTTCGAGCCTCACTTGGTTACAGTATCTCTCCCTGAGGAAAGTAAGGCACATCCAGACGACGAGTCCCAAATAAGATGAGATCAATAGCCTAGACTCCGCTGCTAATCACCATACACCAATCTACTTCAAATTGTTGCTTTTGTCGTATTAGCCAATTCATACAATGTGTCCTTGCTTCAGGGATGACTTATGTAGTAGACATTATTGTTGTCGCCAATACTTTTTAGCTTCTTCTCATCTCAATATGACTGGAACTCCTGTTTAGCATCTCTGGCTAATGTCGTATACACTGTCTTCTGACTTTTACTAATAATATCTCATAGGAGATTGATACAACGCTTTGAAGACTTCAGTTTTACAGGCAAATATTTATATGATACGACTCAAAAAGTCATATTCCTCCCCCCCCCCGCCAAAGTCATTTAAACCATAAAATGAAGGCCGTAAAATTACACCAACAAAACCTACTAAATCAATAAAGAATAGGAGAAACAGGTTACGAATGAAAACAGTAAACTGACTCTACAGAATATCTTTTGTGCAAGCAATTTTACTGTTATAATCTGTCCCATCTACAATTATACATTTCATCCAACAGTTATACGACAATGCTGCATGCCCAGTAATCCACAACGGGAAACTTACGGAAGCCTTCGAAGTAAGGACGGCAGTGAGACAAGGCTGTCTACTATCAACATTCATCTTCCTGATTGCAGTAGATTGGATAATGCGATAGACTGCGGCGGGCAATGAGGAAACAGGCATAAAATGGACTCACACAAAAACTTGGAGGATCTGAACTTCTCCGATGTCATATATATTTCTGATTTCTCACAAACTGGAAGATATGCAAGTGAAAAGCAACAAGTTGGCGATGGAAGAAGCATCAAAGGTAGGACTTCAGGTAAACATAGAGAAAACAGAGGTGATGAAGATTCCTGGCCAACACCAACAGCAACTACAACAGACAACAATCAGCCAGCATAAGTCGGAGGAATCTGAAAGAAACAACCTCCTTTTCCTACCTTCCTAGGAAGCATCGTTTCAACTACAGGTGGACGGAACTGATGAAGATATCAGAGCGAGGATTTTCGGAGAAGCGAGACAAGCTTTCATTACTCTCAAATCTGTGTGGAGGTCAATAGCACTGAGTATCAAAAATAAGATTAGGATTTTCAACTCCAATTTGAAGTCAGTCAGTGCTACTCACTATACGGATGAGAGACTTGGTGCGTCATAAAGAGCACCTCAAAGAATCTATAGACCTTCATCAACAGCTAGCTGTCTTCGCTCAATACTTCACTCAAGATCAGATGACCAGAAAAGATCAGAAACAGGGATCTCTGGGAGCAAACCAAGCAGGAACCGATTGTGAAACAAATAGGCAGGAAGAAATGGAGATGGATTGGTCACACCCTGAGGAAACCACCAAGAGACATCACTAGACAAGCCCTCGAGTGTAACCCGAAAGGGAAACGTCGAGTTGGTCGTCAATGTAAGGGTGACTTGGAGGAGGTCATGCGAGGAGGAGATGAAAGCATGTGGGAAGACTTGAAGCGGAGTGAAAAAGTTGTCAGAAAACCGAAGGCAATGGAGGTGCGCAGCTGGAGCCCTATGTTCCTCTAGGAACTAAAGGATATAATAATAATTATTATAAAAGTTCATTTCAAAAAGCGAATATCACTTGACAATCCTTACCCATGCTAACTGGTTTTCCATCTTTATACCATTCAACTATCAATGAAGGATCATTAGAAGGTTCTACAATTGTTTCAAAATGTGCTGGAGCTGATTCTTGAAGACCAATTTGTGGTGCAAGTGGTTTTAAAAAGTTTGGTGGATTTGTTGGACGAACATCATCATGATAACGAGTTGACCGATTGATTCCATTCTGAACCAGATGATCTTCCATCATAGCAAGATTAGCAATCATTGATTCTTCAGGTAACTGGGTATCAGTGACCACACGATCCTCTGGTATAATACTGAATAGTAAAATGGGAGAAATATTTCAAATACTTGATACAGAAACAAAAAATTACATAATGAAGGAATACAAAGTACTAAACTCTGGCATTTTGAGGCGGATAGAAACTTCAGGTACCAGTCAATTATGGTCACGGTTAGAAAACGTGAAGAGAAACGAAGTTAGTGTTGAGATTCATAGAAATTGTAGAAACGATTAAGTATGAAATTTTAACACTAGTGTACTGTCATTCCATTATAGGTGCAATTTGTTCTGATAAAGTCTCACCGTGTTAAACAGTAATACTGACTGATGACCACATTTCGAGCACAATTTATTACTGCTCATAATCATATCAAGGTACTATTCACACACAACTTTCTAACTTCATTCATATAATTCCATCATTATTTTCCATCGCTTGATTTGACTGGTAGTAGTATTTTCTATATTTTCGGTATGAGTGATGAGTTATTCCTATTGCATGTGTTGAATGTAGACTCGATGAACCAGATAGGATTCGGTAATCAGTCTCTCTCTCTCTCTCTTGAGTCGGTGGCACAGTGGTTAGGACTCTCACCGACCATGCACATGGTCCGGGGTTCGAGCCCACGCCGACGCACGCCTGATATCTATGGTCGGCCTGCAAACTTTGGGTTACCGATAACACATGTTGAAAATTCCATACTGGTACCAAAAATACAGTGTGGAATCAAGCTGTAATCAAAAATAAAATAAAAAAAATAAAACATACTTATATTACTTCTTAGAATTTCAACTCTGTCCCGGTCTATTGTGTGGTTGTGTGTTAATGCATGCAATTCAGTCGCTGAGATTTTTTCTAATTTACTCGTCTTCGCGACTGGGGTCAAACATTCTTACTCTAGCTAATTTCTTATGTTCCGAATGGCAGTCTTACTACTCCTGACCTACTAGTTCGACCTATGTGTAGTTGACCTCACTCCCGGTCATTGCAAGGGAAATTGGAAATTATATTATTCTATTTATTTGGGTCCACAGACAGGGTCCTCGAACCTACAGAGCTTGTCCTATCTGAGTGAGTTTGTAGGTTTAAATGCCACCTTAATTCCTACTTTATTATTAAGAATCCTACTAAGTAGGGTCTCAGATGTCCCCCCCCTTATATGCTGGAACTGTAGATGCCTTACATTCTTTCTTATTATTATTATTATTAGTTTCACCATTATTTTTATTTTGCTTTTGACCCTTTACTGGTTTTCCTAATCAATTTTATAGGATATAAGTGCTGCTATCAAATAACTAACTTTTAAAATTCATTAGGAAGATCAGAAAAGGGTTAAAAGCAAAATAAAAATAATGGTGAAACTAATAATGATAATAAGAGAGAATATAAGGCATCTACATTTGTACCATATAAGAAGGGGACATCTGAGACCCTACTTAGTAGGATTTTTAATAATAAAGTAGGAATTGGGGTGACATGAAATGATTATAAGCACTAAACATTGTGCTCGAAATGTGATCATCAGTAAGTATTACTGTATAACACTGTAAGAATTTATCAAAATAAATTTCACCCATAATGGTATTATACCCTACCACCACAAATCAATGGTAGAGAAGTGAGTGAAATGGAAATTTTCCTTTCAGAATGCTAAGAACAGATAATAACGATATGAAATGAACATTGATTTTATTTCTAAAATGCCGGTTTTCGCATTCTTAATATGAGAATGTGTTCAATTTTCTTATTTAATTGAATTTTAGATTTTCCCGTCGATAGATTGAACCGAAGTGCTCGGTCTCAGGTTGACATGTCTGTCGGCTTCTTGTGCAAATGCATCGACAATGCCTGGGCATGTAATTAGAATTTGATTGGTGGATGGTAGGTAGCCATGGAATCCAGACCAAGCACTTCCGCCTAATCAATCGACGGGAAAATCTTAAATTTAATTAAATAATTAATATGACCCGTTGCACAAGATGTGGTCTAGTGGATAACGCTTTGGCGTCTGAAACTTTGGGAACTGTCTACGAGCATCGGTGGGTGCATCACTCACTGTGGAATGCAGGAACATGGAGTGACGAATCCCGAATAGGACGAAACGCACATTCTGGAATCCACCGCTATTCACCATCCATCAATTATAACTTTTCTTAGTTCATCGATTTTAGAAACTTCTTTAACTTTCATATCTTTACTGCTGAATTCAGCACTGTCTAGACATATTACCTTGATGAAGTAATGAGAATTCTTTAAAGTAGGGAATGATGATAAAATTATTGAATTGAATTTTTGATTTTCCCGTCAATTGATTGGACCGAAGTGCTCGGTCTCAGGTTGACATGTCGGCTTCTTGTGCAGATGCTTCGACGATGTCCGGGCATTTAGTTAGTATACAATTGGTGGATTCCACTGCTAGCCACCATCCACCAATTGTATAATGATGATAAAACTTATGATTCTACACAGTACCTACTCCTCAATCCAGCGAAAGTGGATTTTCGAAGTGATAGAGTCAAAAATATTTTGTTTACATCACCGAAGTTGGTACCCAGATGAATGTCGGAACTATGTTCAATGCAAACATTTTCTTAAGGACGGATATTAGAATTCTACAGCTTTTCTAATTATCTGAGGGAATTAGCACTTGGAAGCAGGGTGAAATCCTAAGCTAGTCAAGTTTTAATTGAAATACGACAGTAAAAACTACTTGAATGTTGTGATCCAATCTTGAAAGATCAGAGAAGAAACGATTTAACAATTAACATGCTAACAAAATGAATGATACCACAGTGCGTCGGTGGCACAGTGGTTAGGACTCTCGCCGACCATGCACATGGTACGAGGTTCGATTTCCTGCCGACGCATGCCTGATATCTACGGTCGGCCTGCAAACTTTGGGTTACCGATATCACATGGTGAAATTCCATACTTGTACCAAAAATACGGTGTGGAATCAAGCTGTAATAAAAAAAAACATGCATACATGCTCAACAACAAACCAATAAGAATAGCTTACGTGACATGACAACTGCTTGATTGATCTTGACCTTGACTGTTAGTTGCAACACAAGAATAGTCACCATTGTCATCTTCATTTGTGTATAGAAAGTCGAGCACTGCATAGCCTCGATCAAACGTTGTCGTGAAGCGAGAGGCTGAAGGGATATAGTTTCAGAAATACAGAATTTGTTGAAACGATCAATTATACAACAGTTATGTAGGTTCAATAATTTGTAATTGGGTATTTTGAGTGTTCAAAAAGACATCGTACATTTTTACTGACATGTTAGAAACGTGCTGCTGAGTGATCACGGCAGAGTAACTGCTTTTATACTCTTTGCTTTTGAGTATTGATTTAAATCCTAGTGCTTAAGTATACACTAAGGTCAACATGTGCCTAAGAAAGCCCATTGAATTCGGTGAACACAAATGGTAAGTAATAAAAGCTTCCAAACATTAGATGGTTGGAAGCAATCGGAAGGAAGCCTTGAACTTACTATTCACGCTGGTTGACACTTCTATGCCAGGATGCTGACGAAATGTAGAGTCTTCTGAACACCCTGACCTGCGATCTACGAATGTTTGACATGCGATTCTCTCCCGCCGAATGCAAGATAATGGTACAGGAATGGACTACACTGACTAATAGTTTAGAAATAAGGAGTGAAGTAGTAGAGCACGTTGACCACTTCACTTATTTGGAAAGTACCATCAGTCAGCGTCAACGGGTTGATGTCTGACGAAATCTCAGCACGGATACAGAGGGCTAGTTTCACATATGCCAGTTTACGCCGTCTCTCGCTGAATAGACGTGGTATCCGGCTATCGACCAAAGGATGTGTATACTGCTCAGCTGTCAGCTCAGTCCTCCTTTATGTCTGTTGTTGAGATCTGGCCATTGAGAGTGAAAGACATGAAAAGATTAGCTGTCTTTGATCATAGGTGCCAGCGTTCTACCTCCCCTGTGCAGTGGTATAATAAGGTGAGCAAAAATGGAGTTAGGCGTTGAGTTCTAGGTAAGGAGGGGTAATCAATCGATGAGGTCGTGAAATTACGTCGACTGAGATGGTTAGGACATATGTTACGTATGCCTAACCTAGCCATCGCCTTCCTCGCTGACGAGTAATGTTAGCTGACATAGGTTCAGGTTGGAAAAGAGCCGGTGGTGGTCAAACCAAAACACGACGGCACCAGTCATTGCAATCCACAAAAGTTATTTTAAGCTGGCCACGTAGAGAGGTGTAGACTTTCTGGTTAAGGTCCTTGGGACGGTAAAAACCAATGGTTGGAAACAATTGGTGATATAGCTCAAAATCGTCGTTGTCAATGGCTGGTGCAGATGCATCCATTCCTTGTGACTTATGATTTCCAGTGAAACTGTTTTGTTCTTCGTTATTACTCTTCCTTTTTCTCACACCTCTGCTTACTGTCCCTATTATGCCTTTCTTGTACTTTGTTCCTTCGCTTTGTGTGCTACATGGAGTGTGGCGACTTGAACTACCGCACATCGGTGCAACCTTCTATGTCGAAAACAGACAAACAGGCAGTTGACACTCACCAGTAGTCAGGAAAACATATCTCCAACCTTGAAAGGACTCATGTTCCTCCTTCTGAGATTCGAATCTGTGTCACTCAGTACTGCAGTCAGTGGTAACGTCTCTGACTGAGTGGTGATTGTCGACTAGCATGAAACCTAGGTCCAAAGCTTCCTGTGATCGAATGCCTCCAACCACTTAATATCAAGAATTCAAAGTCCACCGTGATGGTCAGACACCTAGAATAGTGGTCACATTGCGAACTAGACTCACAGAATTTAGCCTGTAATAAACAAAGGACTAGACATATTACATTCGTTGGTAACTAGTGCCCAATCAAATTTTCTCTAGTGAATCACTTTTCTTGTAATGGTGAATAAATTAAGTTCGACGATACAGGTTCCCTTCTGATTACTATCAGATGTCTGATTCCCTTTCAAGTACTCTCAGGATTTAATAATAATTTATGTTTCTCTTCTAGCTTCACTGAGAAATTCGTCGCATCAAATCCACCTCTAAGTCTTACTTTGTAGAACTCACTGGTCAGAACTTTTCATTAAAAATTAGTGAAATTTATCTCGAAGCCAGTTATTATTGAATGATAGACTAATATTTAAATAACTGATCGATTTTGTTACGAGTTGGGAAGGGAAACATATGTAAAGCAAAAATTTATAAATGTGTGTAGTACTTCCTGGTGTTCAACGGTTCTCTAAGTGATGTCAGTTGGTAAATGATCCACGATGGAATCAAATGAGTACACACATGCTCGAGGTGTGAAAATTAGTTAAAAATACCTGCGATGAGATTATTTTAATATACTACATTTATATTGATATCTAAGAACACTTTCACATGTAATTTAATACTTTTAAAATTACACACATCATTCCAAAAGTAACAAAACCTTCTCATCTAAAACCCGTATCAGTGATAGGTTTTATTGACATCTATGAATCCAACAGAAGGTATATTCTGTGGCACAAGTATCATAAAACTTCATGTCATTTACTTATTTACTCGGATCGTTATGCTGCAGAATATTTCTAGAATCCGTTAGCATGTTTATTGATTGAATGATGACTCTGACCACCCAAGACTCAGGTGGGCAGTGACAAGATTATAAATTACAGGATTTCACCGTGAGCTGAAATCGGTTGAAGAATCACCGGAAAACCAGCACGAATGCCAGCTGTTTCGTCACTCCAGTTTGGGACTGACTATTCATCCGTACGCAGCTTCCGCATGAGGTTCGAACTCAGCACCTCCCTGTTACGCTAAGCCACTGGGACCCGATCCAATATTCAGTCCATGAATTCACGGATTTAAGGACAAATACTTCCCGAAGTCATTGGCTAGTTGTCGTGCTGTGTCGTGAATCATTAGCAGAAGTTGGAATTCATCGACTGGTCATTGGATTGGGTCCCAGTGAGTTAGTGGTCTACGAGAAGGTTCTGGGTGCGTACTGTCGAGAAGTATCAAACCAGGACGAACCAGCTGTTCAGTACTCCGCGCTTTTTCAGTGGGTTCTTCAACTGATGTCAGCTCATCATGATGAAATCCTGCAACCAATCGGATCAAATCCTTACAATCCAGCACTGGAATTCACGATATAGAGTGACTGGGACTTGTCAATATCATCGCTGGTGAGCATTTGTCCTCACAGCCGACCTGGTGTAGCCTACTAGTCACGATTCCTCAGACTAGAACCCAGGCAAATACCTACCTGGATAAGGGCTAATCACTAGCGTTGCGTCTTGCCGTTGAACACGACTTATTTTCTAATCTTCTACAGATAGAATCTGAAAATCGATTAAACATCTTTGCCCAATAAAGTGTTACTCTTCAGTATTTAACCTATTTACATATTGAATATTCATGTGTACCTACCTACCCAGTTGAATGCCTAAATTTATAAACGACTTTTAAGCCATTAGTATCAGATTTTAGCCAATAAAATGTTACATCATATCCGGAAAAAAGTGATTTCTGTACACAAAATAAAAGACAATAATAGAAAACATGCTTCAAAGATTATGTAATTTTATTTATCCAACACAGGAGGTTGTCCAAAATATAAGAACATTCCATACTAAGTAACTATAAACTGCTTTGATTATCTAATTTTTGGATAGAAATATTGTGCCCCCAAAAAAAAAATTATTATTTTTATTGTCGAGTTAAAAATTATTCACTTACCAGCTGGTAATGGTTTACCATTTCTATACCATTCAACAGTTAATGAACTATCACCTGCTGGTCGAACACGAGCGCTTATATTGGTTGGTTCACCTTCGGCTACAGTTAATTGAGCTACTGGATGAACTACAAATTGTGGTGGACCAGATGAGTCAGCACCATCCATGCAAACTGAATTACGCATTGGCTGAATTCAACGACAAAGTAAACATTGTAAAAGCGTAATAATAATAAATCTTTTTGGTAGATAATACGATAAATAAAATATTTACATGGGAAAATAAATAAATTAGTTGTTTTCAATTTCAGTAACTAGGTATCATGGAAGGAATGCCATGCCTAAGGGCACTTTAATTTCCCTTGAGACTAGAGTCTACCTCACCCAATGACGAAATTATTAGCGTCATTATGAAGCTATTTAAGTTGCCACTAGCATAGACGATCACAACTATATCATTTAGAAAACTATAAAAAACCAGAAATGGAGTATTGGACAGCTGTTTCATCAACCTAGTGTGAGAATCATGGGCACTACGCATCTACTTGGGTTTGAACTCAGGACATTCCGATTAGAAGGCAAGATGACTCGTATAAAATTCAGCCAGTGGGACTAGATTCACTGGCTCAGGACAAAGTTTCCTGGGGTTCTAGTTAGAAGTCATGACCAGTGAGGTTCATCCAGTCAAGTATGAGGATTGATTTCCTACTGATGACATTAGTTGGTGGTCACGTTGAATATAATATACGGAAGGTCCTGAGTTCGAATCCCCTGCTCGGGGGATGCGTACTGCCAATGATCCCCAAACTAGGGCGAAACAGTTGTCGGGTACTCCATGATAGTTTTCAGTGGTTCTCTAACTGATATCAATCCATGTTCAAACTCGTAAAACTAAAACTATTGATATTCTATTCAACTGGATTCCGTGTAAACATGAAGCATCAGGCTTCGGCTTCTAAGTGCCAGTTGCGGTTGTTTTTATCTTTTTTTCTTGCTGGATGGAACTGCTGACCTCCCGCCCGATGGTCCACCATTACATTGGCTCACTACAAGCTTAGTGAGATACAGGAGTGGATCTGCCAGAGATTGAACTCTGGACTACATATGAAGTTGCGAGCATTTCGAAAGTTATTGGTCACTGTACTTAAAGTCATAACTCTAAAGATATGCGTTTTGCTTTAACAAACATCTAAATAGTCTCTAAGCTGTTCATCAATTTTATGGTGGTTTAATTGACCTTTTTCAAATTTAGTGCATTACTGTGACAACACTGTTTCACTAAATCACTATGAATTTGATTGTTACTTATCAGTAACGGGTGGTCAGGTAGGTGAAACACTGTCCTACTTTCTGCTGCCTTTAGCCATCTTTCTTCGAAAAGTGAATGCTGTTCCACAACACGAACAAAGTCATTCATGTATTGTACAATAATGAATGGCCATCAAAACAACATAAGGAAGCATCTTAATAATCGATCAACACTGTGCGAAGTCACTTTCTCATTTTTCCACTCATTGACTAGGCATGTTCGCCATCATAGAGTAACGACAGTGCCGTAAATAGCCTTCCAACCTTTTGAAATTGACTGTAATCTGTCCATAAAGTAAGTAAGTAAGTAAGGACACACTGTTTGCTAGTCTCATTGAAGTGTAGTTCAGTGTTATCTCTAGATATGATAGAAGAGATTTGTGGCACAGGTGCATGATTTTCATGTGGTTGTGTTCTCTGAACTAGATGGGTGGTTTATTTACGAAGCTTTCATTACCCGACCACTAGGCAAATTCATCAGCACCCATACTTCAATTTGAATTGGAGTGAGCTTTTAGATTTCTCCGCAAGTTCGTTAGTCATCTCTCCTGGTGGGTGACTTTGAACGTCATCACTGGTTAATTTTGTGTATTTTCACACCCTGAACTTTCGCCCTCTTTGTGTGAGACTGTCAAAGTGAACGACCCCTTCGTCTTCGTGTCCATGATCATAAACTAGCCGTCAAAATACATGACATCCACTCCCTCACATATATCCTTACATACAGACAACCACGGACATCAGTTAGACTAAGGCAAAAAATATTCAAGTATTAGACAGAGGAGACACCAAGAATGCTAGAGAATTTTCAGAAGCCCACCTGGTATTCCAGTGAATCGTCAATCAATAGACACATGGAGATAGACAAATTTTAACCTAATCAATAGGGAAGAAATCTCATACATCAAGGGTCACGTCAAGGAAACAATCAGTACCAATACCGAAATAAATAGCCTAGATGGTGTGAAAATACACAGGTCAGGTCACTAGAAGAGATGACTAACAAAATTGTGGAGAAATCTGAAAGGTCACTTCAATTCAGATTGAAGTATGAGAGCGGAAGAGGTTACCCAGTAGGGGAATCAACGCTTCGTAAATAAACCAACCATCTAGCTCAGAGTACACAACCACATCAAAAAGTGAAATTTCCGCACATATATATATATATGAGCCAATTTAACACTGGACGTCTCAAGAGATCTTGTTCCCCGTGGATCCAGTGTGTCTAGAATAAAAGTGTTGTTACTTTAGCTGAAATATAATAGCATATATTATGTAAAAGCATGAGGAAAATAAATCAATAGGAACATCACAGTTACATGAAAAAAAAGATAAAGATTTGCTAGTCAAAGTGTATATTTCTTTATCTATGATGCATAAATTTGATAAATAACTTCTACGAATGTAGATTCAATAAATAAGTACAAATGTAGCTTTCATTAATCTCTGTCAGTTGTAATGCAAAAATAAAGGTACTTAACAGAAAATAAAAAGTATGTATATATATATAAACAGTAAAACAGTATTTGCATAATCAGTAAAACCGATGCCTTGCATTATAAATCCTATACATCATCCTTCTCGGAATGGCTCAATCAAGCCATGGCGTCGTAAACATAAACAAATCGAATAGTCATCATCATTACAGAAGTACTAGTAGACTTCTGATGCTGTTGATTGATTTCTTCGAAAAGTTATACTTGACATTGGCAAAAAAATAAAATAAAATAACACCAGAAGAAGCACGACTGGGTTATTTTTGTTCCTTGATTGTAAATTCATTTAAATTGTTGAAGTATTGAATTCACCAGGATCAATAGACATTGATGTCTAGATAAGGTTAGCATTGTATGATGGCATCGAAGTCCACTGCACTCCATGACAACGTGATGATTAAAAAATAAAACTGTAGAAATAATAAACTGCAAGTTTAGTTGCGCAGATCTCTCACTGACAAGTTGATTGCCATACACAGTAGTAGTACGAGAAGGAGAATTTTTACACGGCTTAGAAAGTAATGGATTAAACTCATATTTAATTGGTGGATGGTGACCAACAGTGGTGGAATCCATCAGGATGCGCATTTCGTCCTGTTTGGGACTCGTTGTCACCTGGATGTAGTACCTGCATTCCCCAGTGTGTGATGATATTCCACTGTTCGTCACTATCCACCAATGAAATTCTAATTACATGCCCAGACATTGTCGAAGCATCTGCACACGAAGCCGACAGAAAAGTGAACATGAGACCGAGCACTTCGGTGCAATCAAGCCACGGGAAAATCTAAAATTCAATTAAATAAACCGTATAAGTTTGAAGCTGCATGCTTTGAAAGCACTAATTTCATGTCAGCCATGTTAATAAGTTGTCTCAGAATTTTCAAACCAGTTCTTTAATGAGTCAAAAGTTTACAAGCTATGAAATATATTAACTCGTACAGGTAATTGATTTGTTCCCATTAAAATTTCCAAAATAAAGTATTGATCGAGAGTACATTCTACGTCACTTCGCTTTCCCTCACATATACCGCACATTTCCGATCTTTGTACCCACCTATGATTAAAGCACAAAATTCTGTGCACTCTACTTCAAACTGTATCTACAAGTTCACCTGCAGTTGCGGTGACACACAACGATATAGGTAGGACCAATAGAATGTTCCAATGTGCTAGTCGAAAAGAACATGATCCAAAATGGTTATTAAAACACTCAGAAAATCCCAGTTCAATTCATCTGAATATAGATCCGTCATTACCATCATCATCATCATCATCCATTTCAAAGCACTTATTAACGTCAGGTCACAAAATCGATCAATATTAATGACTGTTTCACAATTATTTCATCACATAACTCTAATTCAACGTTGGTTATTGTTAAAGGTGATGGAGGCAGGCACTTTAGGGATGAATTACATACATCTTAAACTATGTGTACAAAAATACAATAGATTTCAACCTTCACCTACCATGGACTATTTGACCTATTTATTAAATATGCTTGGTTGTTAGTATGTACTTTTGATTTTTATATAACTGAGTAATTGACAAGCCTTTTATTTTATTTTGAAGAGTTGATTTGTAAGATTAGATTTGTGTATACAAGTTTGACAACGGATTGATTTTAGTTAGAGATTCATTGAAAACCAGAACTGGAGTACTGGCCAGTTGCTTATTCATCCTAGTTTGTGAACCAGGTTAATTGTAAAGTGATTGTAAAGAAACTACAAAATAACGATATCAAATCGCGAAATTCGTCTTCCAAATGCCTTATTTATGAAAGAGACTAATTATTTTAAAATTAATCTTCTATTAACAAAATAATAATAATAATAATCTGCTTTACTCCAAATACCAGTACTTATAATACAGCGTGGAATTCTCGGCTTTTGTCACAACAATATTGTATATGATTTACTCACTATAGATGAATACAGCCATAGGAATTTCTCGGTATTTTAACGGTAGGAATAATGTCACAAATGTGGAAAGCATGATATGAGAATAATAACCGTACTAAGAGTAGTGATGATAGTAACAGTGGGTTTGTTTCGAACAATACTGTGGATACAGTATGGATATCCTTAGCATGTTATAGAGAATTGAATCTAATGCCTCTTCACATAGAATGGTTGGGCGGGGGGAAACACAAGAAAAGATCATTTGTTACGGAGATTAGGTGATGTTCACACTTATGAAAAAATAAGTGAACATAAAAGGAGAGGATAGTTAGTATAAGCAGAATGATAACAGTAAAGCTTGATGGTATAAGGGTAGAGAAAATTGTTTATTTACTAGTGGAAAGAAGGTTAGTTAGTTAGTTAGATAGTTAGTAAGTTCCTGTCTGACACTGATTTCACCAAATGAAATCCACGCAAAATA